ATTGAAGGGATTTGGGCAAGTATAAAGGATTTATGGAGAAATATGAAAGGAAAAAATGTATTCAATTTACCATTTTTGCACGCCATATTTCTTTTGAACGGCACATTTGGCCAGGGAAATTTTAGGAACGTGTTCTAAGGGCCCTCAGGCATCTTCCTAGCATGTTTCAAAAAATTTAAGTTTTGGCCAAAATTGAAAAAAATGTAAGGGGTTAGCCTTACATTTTTGCAAATTTGGGTGAAAAATCGACTTTTCAGGAAACAACTCAGAAACACTTTAGGAGGCATAATAAACATACTTTCATACTCGATAAGTGATTATTGAAGGGATTTGCCAAGTATAAAGGATTTATGGAGAAATATGAAGGGGAAAAAATGTATTCAATTTACCATTTTTGCACGCCAAATTTCTTTTGAATGGCACATTTGGCCAGGGAAATTTTGGGAACGTGTTCTAAGGGCCCTCAGGCATCTTCCTAGCATGTTTCAAAAAATTTAAGTTTTGGCCCAAAATTGAAAAAAATGTAAGGGGTTAGCCTTACATTTTTGCAAATTTGGGTGAAAAATCGACTTTTCAGGAAACAACTCAGAAACACTTTAGGAGGCATAATAAACATACTTTCATACTCGATAAGTGATTATTGAAGGGATTTGGGCAAGTATAAAGGATTTATGGAGAAATATGAAGGGGAAAAAATGTATTCAATTTACCATTTTTTGCACGCCATATTTCTTTTGAACGGCACATTTGGCCAGGGAAATTTTAGGAACGTGTTCTAAGGGCCTTCAGGCATCTTCCTAGCAAGTTTTAAAAAAAAATCATTTTTTGGCCAAAATTGAAAAAAATGTAAGGGGTTAGCCTTACATTTTTGGCAAATTTGGGTGAAAAATCGACTTTTCAGGAAACAACTCAGAAACACTTTAGGAGGCATAATAAACATACTTTCATACTCGATAAGTGATTATTGAAGGGATTTGCCAAGTATAAAGGATTTATGGAGAAATATGAAGGGGAAAAAATGTATTCAATTTACCATTTTTGCACGCCATATTTCTTTTGAATGGCACATTTGGCCAGGGAAATTTTGGGAACGTGTTCTAAGGGCCCTCAGGCATCTTCCTAGCATGTTTCAAAAAATTTAAGTTTTGGCCCAAAATTGAAAAAAATGTAAGGGGTTAGCCTTACATTTTTGCAAATTTGGGTGAAAAATCGACTTTTCAGGAAACAACTCAGAAACACTTTAGGAGGCATAATAAACATACTTTCATACTCGATAAGTGATTATTGAAGGGATTTGGGCAAGTATAAAGGATTTATGGAGAAATATGAAGGGGAAAAAATGTATTCAATTTACCATTTTTTGCACGCCATATTTCTTTTGAACGGCACATTTGGCCAGGGAAATTTTAGGAACGTGTTCTAAGGGCCTTCAGGCATCTTCCTAGCAAGTTTTAAAAAAAATCATTTTTTGGCCAAAATTGAAAAAAATGTAAGGGGTTAGCCTTACATTTTTGGCAAATTTGGGTGAAAAATCGACTTTTCAGGAAACAACTCAGAAACACTTTAGGAGGCATAATAAAATACTTTTATACTCGATAAGTGATTATTGAAGGGATTTGGGCAAGTATAAAGGATTTATGGAGAAATATGAAAGGAAAAAATGTATTCAATTTACCATTTTTGCACGCCATATTTCTTTTGAACGGCACATTTGGCCAGGGAAATTTTGGGAACATGTTCTAAGGGCCCTCAGGCATCTTCCTAGCATGTTTCAAAAAATTTAAGTTTTGGCCCAAAATTGAAAAAAATGTAAGGGGTTAGCCTTACATTTTTGCAAATTTGGGTGAAAAATCGACTTTTCAGGAAACAACTCAGAAACACTTTAGGAGGCATAATAAACATACTTTTATACTCGATAAGTGATTATTGAAGGGATTTGCCAAGTATAAAGGATTTATGGAGAAATATGAAGGGGAAAAAATGTATTCAATTTACCATTTTTGCACGCCATATTTCTTTTGAATGGCACATTTGGCCAGGGAAATTTTGGGAACGTGTTCTAAGGGCCCTCAGGCATCTTCCTAGCATGTTTCAAAAAATTTAAGTTTTGGCCCAAAATTGAAAAAAATGTAAGGGGTTAGCCTTACATTTTTGCAAATTTGGGTGAAAAATCGACTTTTCAGGAAACAACTCAGAAACACTTTAGGAGGCATAATAAACATACTTTCATACTCGATAAGTGATTATTGAAGGGATTTGGGCAAGTATAAAGGATTTATGGAGAAATATGAAGGGGAAAAAATGTATTCAATTTACCATTTTTTGCACGCCATATTTCTTTTGAACGGCACATTTGGCCAGGGAAATTTTAGGAACGTGTTCTAAGGGCCTTCAGGCATCTTCCTAGCAAGTTTTAAAAAAAAATCATTTTTTGGCCAAAATTGAAAAAAATGTAAGGGGTTAGCCTTACATTTTTGGCAAATTTGGGTGAAAAATCGACTTTTCAGGAAACAACTCAGAAACACTTTAGGAGGCATAATAAACATACTTTTATACTCGATAAGTGATTATTGAAGGGATTTGGGCAAGTATAAAGGATTTATGGAGAAATATGAAGGGGAAAAAATGTATTCAATTTACCATTTTTGCACGCCATATTTCTTTTGAACGGCACATTTGGCCAGGGAAATTTTAGGAACGTGTTCTAAGGGCCTTCAGGCATCTTCCTAGCAAGTTTTTAAAAAAAATCATTTTTTGGCCAAAATTGAAAAAAATGTAAGGGGTTAGCCTTACATTTTTGGCAAATTTGGGTGAAAAATCGACTTTTCAGGAAACAACTCAGAAACACTTTAGGAGGCATAATAAACATACTTTCATACTCGATAAGTGATTATTGAAGGGATTTGGGCAAGTTTTAAGGATTTATGGAGAAATATGAAGGGAAAAAAATGTATTCAATTTACCATTTTTTGCACGCCATATTTCTTTTGAATGGCACATTTGGCAACAGAAATTTTCCGAAGAAAATGACCTTTAACCAGAAATCAAATTGGAATGTGTTTCCAGATAGGTACATTTTGACCAAAATTTACTCAAAATGTAAGGTTAACCTCTGGTATTTTTTATTTCGATTATGGCTGAAAAATAAAACTGCTTGAAATTTGCATGGAAGATGCATGAGGGTTAATGTAACGCATTCCCAATAGTTCTCTTGCCAGATGTACCGTTCAAAGGAATTATCAAGTGCGATAAATTTCAAGCAATTTTTGATACATTACACATTTGTCCAGAAATTGGGTTGTAATGTTTTAAGGGTGCCTGGCAGTTTGACGCAACTCTGCTTTTGGCCAAAGATTAGGCCAAAAATAACTGCCTCATTGAAGGTAAAAAAGAATGTAATTAAAGTTCAAAACAAAAAGTGCCGAATAAAATTCACAATGAAAACTGCTGCGGTCCAAGTACTTTAATGAAAGGATAGGACACCAACAAAAATTGTACAAAATAAACTAAAACAAATGACGGACTATCCACAATAAATAAAAACCCTACAAACCGAACCACGGATATGTTTGCATGAGTTCAAATATGTACAAAAAAACATAGAATGTATTTACAAAGTGGATAGAGGTTTATTACTTCAATACCACTTTTGCCAAGTGGTAAAACAGATTCCCCAATAACCCTTTTCACCTTAGTTTCCTCCCCTTGCCTTATTGTCCTCCCCCCCCTAAAATGTTGATGTTTCAAACCCACAACCAGTACTTTCACTGAGCAAAGAAGTGCACAAATTTTCAACAAGCCTTTTCGGAGTTCCAACTGCGCGCATTCGTAACCTGTGACAACGCACATTGTTTGTCTCAAATGCCCTTTGACAGTACCCACAATGCACAAACAGCCTTTTTGTAAAGTCAGTGGCGCGATGATGTCAAAGGCCATTTGAGACAAACAATGCGCGTTGTCACAGGTTATGAATGCGCAGTTGGAACTCCGAAAAGGCTTATTGATGTTTGACTGCCAGTGACTAAAATTAATCATGTAGAAATGTAGTGTATCTAGATGCAATGTCCATGCTTCTTTTGAATTACTCCCCGCAACAGAGATGTTTACAGTGAAATTTGAGGCTTTGCATGGCGGAATTACTCATGAATGAAAGGTTTGCGGAAACATCATGTGGTAATACATGTTTCATCTTGAAACGCCATTTTTCTGGCAAGGCAAAAGTTATTGGGTCGTTGATCAGGTGTCACTGAATTTATTCGTCCATACGCCCGGCCCGGCCGCACCACAAATAAAAGTTCTATTCCATTGTGAATCGAGGTTCCATTGCATGGTCACACGATTGGTGGAAAAGAACCAATCAGACGACAAGGATATATTCAGGTGTTGTGTAAAACAAGTAATGAATGATTCACGTTCGTGCAATGGAAATAACTCCATTCGGTAACAGATGGAATGTTCCATTTCGCCTCGTGCAATGGAACATTCCATCTGTCACCTCATTAAATTATTCTTTCCATTGCACTCATAAACATTCATTATTTGCATAATGAATGAGTCATTAAACGAAAAGAAAAGTCTAACCCTTTGAATTCTGTTTTTCTATCTAGCCCTAACCTCACCCAAAGCTACAAAATACCGAGTTGTAACCTGTGGTATGCATGTCTTTCCATACAAGTGTGCACAACACATGTAGTATTCTGTGGTATTTGGTCATTGACCCCCAAACAGCCCTTAGGACGTTCTAAAGAACAAAATACCAAAAAGTGCTATAATACGTGCTAGGTTAATGAAAAACAATGAGTATGAAGACCTTATCAAACTCTTTATAAATGGCAGTAAAGAGAAACAACAGTGCATAAATAATGACAGGTTTATAAAAAGCCTGTTTTAAATGGGGAACTGTGTCTCTTAACATTAATCTTCACTCCCTTGGCAGTCTTTACAGAGACGCTTCCAGATTCACAACACAGAATATACATTGCATGACTTTCCAGCTGGTAAAACCTGTTTTTGCTTGGCAAATATTTGATGTTCTTAGGAAAGTCTTGAGCTAAACAGTCCGAGAAGTTAGCCCAAGAATTTCCAGCTAGTAAAACCTGTTTTTTGCTTGGCAAATATTTGATGTTCTTATGAAAGTCTTGAGCTAAACAGTCCACAAAGTTAGCCCAAGAATTTGTGACCGTAGAAATGCTCCAACATGATGTGGGTCTACGATGACTGATGAGCCATGGGGGGAACCTGCCTCGGAGGGGCGTAGGGCGAGCCAAGGAACTGGTCTGCGATGCGGCCGGCCTCCCGCAGCCCACTCAAGAGGGCGCCGTGCACAGTGGCCGGGTAGTTTCGGATCGTGTGCTCGCCGGCAAAGAACAGGCGGGGCATGTTGTTGGGCTGAGGGGGCGCGCCCTGGACCACCGGGGTGGGCGTGATGGGGGTGGCCATCAGGTCGTAGTCGTTTCCGGACGAGCCCGCGGCCACGTAGGAGTAGGACCCTCGGGACCAGGGGTCTGCACGCCAGCGGGTTACCACTGCTTCCTTGGGCTGGGAAAGGAAACATTAATTAGGTAGCAATGGAAATAATCCTGACCACAAGAATTTGGAGGTACAGTGGAACGCCGCTATAGCGAACATCGTGGGATCCACAGAAAGTGTTCGTAATAACGGTCGTTTGGTACAACGATTTTGAAGCACCAGTACCCTCTTTTGACCAATAGTGAACTGGCATTTCTCACATCCCGCGGCTGCACGAGGAGTCATCAGGAAAATTTAGCAACGGGTGGTTTCCCTATATTCTTTGGGGAAATAATAGCCATATATCGCTCTTCAACATTCAAACACGATGTAACTATGGGTCGCTTGATGTTCGGGAATTAAAAGTGGCCCAAATGGTGTTTAATACATGTACAACCGGTAGATTTTTTGTTAATCTGTGGAATTTTTCCAACAACAATGTTCGGTACGTTTTGTACATTAAAACCGGGAGCCAAGGATGATGTTCAGTATAGCCGAATGTTCGGTATAGTGGTGTTCGGTATAGCGGCGTTCCACTGTACCACTGATATATTCAGGTAGTGCATGCGACTATGGCAATGTGCAAAAAAGTAAATCCTGACATGCGCCTCCACTGGCTGCCATTACGTACATCAACGCTTACAGTATGGAATTCGTGCACAAACAGTATTATTTTTTTTTACCATTTCAAACTCCCCAGTGGGTACACACAACTAATGTTGTTCTGACTGTACTTGAACCTGTTGCATCCTTGCGTGAGCGTCAAGTCCAGCATTTCAGGCCTTCTAAGATGGCTTCCTAGTGACTTCAGCCTTTGATTTTGACACGCTCCATTCTCCCATGAATCACGGCCCTAAACTATGTTCAGTATTCATTTTCTTACAAATACAACCAACATGGAGCCAATCCTTGCACGAAAGTAGTTGGTTTAGTCTAGTCAACTATTCAGAACCAGTCTACTGAGGCCATTGGCATTATAATGCATAGGAAAGAACCGGTAAAATGAAGTTTAGAGATGGTGCTTTGTTCATATTTTGAGTACAATTGCTATGTACAGGCTGGCATAAGTTATGTCGTGAATCAACCACAAGTTCTCCATTGGACCTTAAAGATATAGTCCATCATTTGTAATTTGTGCATTTTGTTCGTTTGAAGCAACAAAAGTGCTCAAAATCTAAAGAAGGGTACTGAACAACTAACCTGATGAAGTTTCAGCTCAGCTTCAGCTGTATATTCCGAGAAACCCAGCATTCTAGGATCTCAATTTCAAATCACTGATCCGACGAATTATAGCAACCGTGCATGCGTGTGTGTCGTGCCAATTCTTGCGCGCGCTTCGCCGAATAACAAAAGGAACTACTAATTTAAATTACCTACGGTGCGTCTTAAGAAGCACCGTTGGAAAGGCCTTCTTTCGTTGATTACTTCAAAATGACAGCTTGCCAGAAAGAATAATTTCACAGGGAGTTTAGTCCCCTTACTATCTTTCAACCAAGTATGTTTTTCAACAATAATCACGCCAGTTACTTTTCGGATGGCTGCAAATGATGGACTATAGCTTTAAACATACTTGATCTGATCAGTATTCTACCATTATTTGAGGGAAGTTAATCACAAGTGCCCAGTATAAATACCTGTGGAACTGTGGATGCACCAAAGATTCCCTTGAGCACCGACAGACACCGGCCAACGATGACATCGTCGCTGACGTTCTCCATGATCTGCGCAGCTTCCCCGGCGACCAGAGCCAGGAGTACCGGCGCCTTGTACAGGTTCCAGAATAGGAAGAGCTCGCCGCGGCTGGCCGTGGTGCTGCCGACGTGGCCAAAGAGATTAACCGAGGGGTCCCAGAACGCCTTGTCAAAACACAGCACCACCTAAAATACAGAATGAATCAATTCGCTACAAAATTTAATTTAAACTTGGGCTTTGCCAGGGTTCGTCCCTTTACTTTTTTCTTCGCAAGCCAGCCGGACTAGTGAACCAGACTCTTAACGTAAAGTCTGTCACACGCCAATATTGCACAATAGGTCAGTGTTTATCTTGGCATGATTCCTTGGCATGAAACGACTGAGAATATTTCTATTCCCCCTGGATGGGATGCCAGTCCATCGCAGGTTACTCCCCAGCTACTGCCGGTACCCATTTATACTCCTGGGTCGAGAGAGGAAAATGGGGGTGAAGCGGCTTGCCCAAGGACACAACATATGACCAGCAGCAGGATTTGAAACCTTCTGAGCATGAGTCACGAACCCTAGTTCAAAGGGAATGTATACCTGTATCAAGACACTCAAACTTTTGAATATACCTTGTTGAGGTTGCCGTAGCCCATGCGGTGTATGGCGCTGGTCTTCCATTCCGGAAGGGGCGGCACAAACTGCACCACCGGTGGGGATTGCTTCAGCACCCCCAGGGGCAGGGTGCACACCACCGCGTCGGCCTTGTAGGTGTAGGTGCCACTTTGACCTTTGGCACTCTGGGTCACGACTTCCACTCCTGAAATGGATCCAAAATTACTATTATTTAAAATACACTTTTACCTCTGAAAATTAAATTTTTAGCTATTTTGATAAATTGCCTTATTTTTTCAAAAGCAAGTAAGAATGGTATCAATAACAGACCTGTGTTGCTGGTTTTAATCTGTCGGACGATCGTATTCAACTTGATGTCCAGTCCCTCGGACAGGGCGATGGGGACGCAGGAGTAGCCATTCCGGACAGTCAAGTGGCTACCGGTGAACTCAAAGTCGTCGTCCTGGTCCCAGTGCTTGAGGGAGAGGGTGGAGAGGGGCGTGGCGTTGGCAAACTCCAGGTTGGCAAAGTGCCAGTCTAGGATCTGACGGTCACGTGACGAGAGGTAGACATCACTGGGAACAATAAGCAGAAAAGAAAAGAAAAAAAATAGAAAGCACAAAATTAAATGACATGCAAGTTAGCTTTGCTTGGCAATTTTTGTTATCCCACTCGCGCTCGTGGAACACGAAAAATGTAGTGTCTCGTGCTTCCGGCATTCAGCCTCGTGGCATGTGAGACACAGGCGCACTACATTATTCCGTGCCCACTTGCGTATGTGGGATGTCTAATATGAGTAAAAATGAGTTATTATGAAGATGTTCACTATCCTCCAGACAAATGGTGAAAAATACAGCCTTTGTCAAGCAAACATTGATTTGCAGATAACTTGGCATACATGTACCTCGGTGGATTGTTCTCCAGCTCTTGCATTTTCTCATCCACTTCTTTCTGATTGAACACCAGTACATCATAGTCCTGTTGAAAAAAAAACAATCGTCATTACTACTTATCCTTCCAAATTCTTCACAATTCACCAGGGATTTTGGAAGATGTTAAAGGATTAAGGAAAGTAAAGGCCAGTCACCAATACTTTTCATATATGGGGCCTGATGCAGCTAAATAAATATGTAGGAGAAAGGGGCTGCTCCAGCTGCTGGTTAATCCTCAACTATCCTTTGGAGGCATTTTTAATAATAATAATAATACCGGAGTCTTATATAGCGCACATATCTACCAACAATTAGGTACTCAAGGCGCTGGAGATTATGTATATTATTAAAGAAAGTAGTGTAATGGGTTTATATATTGTTCAGAATTATCTAGTTACCAATTACAACTTTTTTGTCAACTTTAAACTCTGACTTCTGGCGCCTAGAAATAGTCTACCATTTGTTTAGTAGTGTTTAACTGATAATAGGATTGGCATATCAGATTGGGCCAATATTGAGCATATCATCAAAATTACCAAATAGGCCAAAACCTACTTCTGTTGCTGAAACGTATTCCGGTACATGAATTTTGTTCAAAAGTTTCAAGTGATTGTGATTTTTGGTTCAATACGTTTGATGCATCACCAAATGTTAAACAGACAGCCAACGGCATTCATCCATGTCTTCGGTTTATCATTTCATGCTTGTCCCATCGAGGAAAGACTTACTGTGAGGCCAAGAACACCAAGCATCACGATACAAATGCTTGTTGTGTGATGCCATACTCCTGCATTCTAATGTTGCGATTATTAGCAAATCGCAATAACCCCAAATGAATCAACGCGATTATTAGCAAATCGCAATAACCCCAAATGAATCAACGCATTCATGTACCTTTAGGGCAGCATTCAGGTCTCTCATCTTGCTGCGTACTAAGAACTCTGCGGTGATGTCTCTGGGCGTCTTGCTCTCTGACACCTCCTTGTACTGCTTGTGAAGTTCCTTGATCTTGTCTTGTAGTACCAACAGCTGCAATAAGTAAGTTTTCAAAAAAAATTTTCACTGCCCTTGTATTTGGTTGGCAAAGCGGTGATAAATTGTTTTTGGTGCGGTCTTGAAGTTAAACATGCAATAATACATACAAGCAAGGTCCAATTTCAAGGCGCTGCTAAGCACTCGATTTTCTGCTAACAGAGCCTCAGTCTGTTTCATGAAGACCGTAAGCAGTGAGCACAGCAAAAGGCATACTTTACCCCAGAGGTAAAAGTTGCTTAAATCGATGACGTAACAATAGAAATCTCCATGCGCACACAACCGTTAGCACAACCACGCCATGAAATAGTGCTTAAAAGCCGAACCCTGCTCAATCCAACAGGACCCAACTATCTTACATATCTGTTGGGTCCTGTTGGATTGAGCAGTACACCCCTTGTGTATATATTCCTGTGGAAATCTGGATTCAGCAGGTAACTAAAAGGCAACGCATCAAGGAAAAAACATTATTGGGGAGGCCAAAATATCATGGAGGGTAATGGGAGCAAACAGCAAGGGTGTGAGTGACCACTGATAAAAATAGCTGAAAACAGCTGAAAAAGGTGTAAAAAAGCTGAACTTTGGAAATCTCCTATACTTTTGTTCACAGCAAGTGAGGGAAAAAAGCTGAAATCCAAAACAAAAAATGCTGAAATCAGCTTTAAAGCTGAGATTTCACACCCCTGAAACAGGGAGACAGCCCCTCTAGCATTACCTTAGCTTGGTTTTCTTTAGTCTGTTCCTGTAGACCGATGACCGTCCTCAAGTAATCGCTCTTCTTCTCTTTCACCTGTTTTTCTTGAAGTCTGGAAGGAAGGCACAATTTCACAAGATTTTAGTCTCAGAAAACATTCACAAACTGAGAATGTCTGGCAGGTCCCACAAGGAATACTGCCTCTTCTAACAAGTCAGTTAGGTATTCTAGCTTCACACATGTCTATGGTGGATATGGCAATCAAATCTTCATTCTGCAATTTTTCATGCAATATAAAAGAAGACGGGAACTTATGTTCACACAAATGTTGAAGCATTCAAAACACTGTAAAACATGGTATTGTGCACAATTGTTCACAATCTGTACTTATTGATTAAAACCCTCCTATTGTTCGAACAGTCACAGACAGTCAAAAATTTCTTCCACTTCCCCTGCCATGCATTTGTCTACATACAAGTAAAAAAAAAAACCAGTCGGATCACATTCGTGTAAACACTGTGACCAGTCAAATTTCATCAACAGACAAAAGAGGCAATAATGTATTACATTTATATAGCCCTGTCTACAGGCGTTTCAAAGCTCTCTCTATTTTTTAGAGACCGGTAAATGAAGATGATGAAAATATGAAACAAATGGGACCTTCGGCTTCATGTCCCATCCCATGGACGAAGCAATAATGGTTAAGTGCCTTGCCCAAGAGCACAAGCACCACGTTCCCCAGTCAGAATTTGAACCCGTGTACCACGGCACACGAGTCGAACACCGTAAACGTTGGATCACAGCGCCCCACTAACTGATAGGTACATGTACAGCTGCCATATCAATCACCTGCGGTCAAAATGTTGAATTAAGTCACTTGATCGATTTTGAGCGCCGTGATGGCGTAGCTGAGTTTAAAGGGACACTAGGTCCTGGAACAGCCCAATTGGGCTACAAAACGCGCTATGAACGAGATGATGATAATCGGAAATAACTTTTAAAAGTAGGATATAAACATCCACACAACTATCCTTTCAAAACTGGGCGTTTTTGTGTTATTTCTGTATTATGTGTGCGAGAACGAATTTCGGGGTCCACTTTTGCGACCCCATAAATTCGAGCTGTTTGGATGCTAGTTGTGATTTCATTCGTATGCGTAAAGCGTTCGCCTTTTGCGGACGTTGAAGAAACCACAACTTTTTGCATTGGTGATTGGTCACCGCGCGCTGTTCCCGAGACACACAACGTGTATAGCGTACATGAGAACGACACGAAAAACATATTCGTACTCCGTCATGTCCGATGTAAACAAGCGGGTTTTTTTTGTCTTTTCTCGGGAACGGTAAGACATTAGGTTGGTTTCCTTTCAACCAGATGTTTGAAATAGGCTAAGTAAACAACCCAAAACATAACATTTTTGGGGATTTCAGGACCTAGTGCCCCTTTAAGTCAACAAATTATATCTATGTACAAGAAGTTTATCTCAACTGTAGATGCGACTGTCCAAACCATAGTTGGGATGACGCCATAGTTGTGGTGCAACATTTCTCTTCCCTTTCCATTCCCATTTCTTACTTGATGACAAGTTCCAACGCTTGGCCCAGCGACACCGGCTTGCCGTGGATGAAGTTGAAGTCGAGTTGATGAGACATGAAGGACGTAGCCTCCAGAAGACGGTTGAACTCTCTCTCCACCATCTCATCTTTGTCTTTTGGTATCTGCACGCAAACAAAAACAGAGAAATCATTTCTTGCTCTCCGACGATAATTGTCTTGGTTAAAAATGTTAGTGATCTGGAATGCTTCGGCGGGGCGCATCAATATTTTATAGTAGCACGCCCTCGCATGACAGGTTTTGACCATCCTATTTGCTAGTATGCTAGTATGAGCAGTTTAAAATTGATCATGTGAGAATGCCCTACACCAGCATGCGGCACTGCAGCTCTGAGGCAATCAGATATCACTCACTAGCGTCTTGAAGAAAGACTATAATGTTTTATGTCAAAAGTTCCCTTGGGACACAGAATTTTCGTTTGTTTTTGTTGCAAGCAGAGTGTTGTCTTAGCTGATTTCATACATATATTTCAAAGAAAGCTAACCATACTGAACGGATGTCATCTTTTCGCTCAATTTGTTTAGATTTTGATGAATGCATGTTTTAAATTATGAAATTAATTGTTGAATTAGTATTTGTGAGTGTTAATCCACCCTAAAACCACCAAACAAAATTAAAATTGTGTCAGTTTAAGCTTAAGTTTAGGGGAAAATCTAACATTTTAAACATCTTTCTTATTTTTATGAATATATCAATTACCCAATCAATTTTATGAAAGCGGAAAACTTTAAAATTTGAATTATGTACAATGTAGGATTCTAATTCAGAACTAAATCAATGAAAAGAATCAGAACAACAAAACAAAAACATGTTAAACTTACAAACTACATGTACTATTGAAACAACACTGAGAACAAAAAAAGAAGAAACCAATAACAAAGAGAAAAAAATAACAAAAAATAAACAAAAGCAAAACAAAAAACCAGCCCCCAACCACTTAAAAATACTACAAATGAAAGGAAAAAAAACATTAGGAGAACTGTTTTCCAAATATTACTTAGTATCAGCTTGGCAAACACTAAAAGAGATCTGTATGATTAATATGATTATTATCATACCAAATATATAGTTTTCTTCAATTTGTTGATTATCAAACCGAGGCAAACAGGTTCCTTCAGCAGCGTTGATTTTTAAGAACGTCAACGGTGAAACTATCTTTCAATATTTTAAACAGTTTGTTGGAACACATTCCTGCCACTGCTTTCTTGTAATGACCAACAGCTCTCCCTAAGCAAAATATTCTGTCTAACTTCACTCACCGGTAACTTCTAGCAATCATATTCAACTGCAGAGTTAATAGTAAGACAACTTTACCGTTAGTAGAAACACGGTGATAGTTAGGGTCGCGGGATCTCCGCCCGAACACATAGGAAATTTCAATACTTGCCGTCCATACCGTTTGACCTCCACTCTCAAACAGGGGACACTTCTGCTTAATTTTGGTCAGCTCCATGTTGACCTGCTTGCTGACGATGGTCATGGGGTTGCCCCCCAGCCCCGTCACCACCATGGCCCCCAGGTCGGCCACGTAGTTGTTCTTGCGGTAGGTGGTGACGCGGCCCCCGACGCGGTCCCGGGCCTCCAGGATGGTCACGTCCATGCCGAAGGTCTGGAGTTGGGAGGCTGCGGCCAGACCCGAGATGCCGGCACCGACGATCAGCACTTTGCCCAGGGTCTTGGTGGGGAGGGGCTTCAGGCGCTTGTAGATGCCGAAGTTGATCAGTCCGTGGCGCTCCAGGTAAGCATGGACACGCATCACCAGTTGGACATCGCCTGTATGCACACATTTCCATTCAAACCAACTAGGTTAAAACTTAGTCCATGTTTTCAAGGTAGTTTTGAGTAATTGAAGAGCCGTGGTACCCCCACGGGGTGTTCTCTAGGCACCCTGCCAAATGCAACAGAATGCAGTGCCAGCCTTGGTACCAAGCACCTACCCTGCCAAATGCAAAGGAATGCAGGCATGGAATGCATGCAGATCAGGACAATGCTAAATGCAACAACTTGCAACAACTTTTTTACTAGTGGTGTATTCTGTAGCATTTAGCAGGGTTAGGGTTAACACTAACTCCCTAGGCATTTTTGCTAGGATGCAACCTCCATCCTGCAAAATCCTCCAACTGCCTCCATGTAAAAATTGCACATAGCCTCAATCCTCCAAAATCATCCATTATTTCTTGAATGAGGTCCTTGGAGGGGTGACCACTACCTTAATCCTGCAAAATTTAGCAATGTGTTGAGGCAGAGCCAGTGACATCCTGGAGCAGTGCGGAGGATTTCAAGTATAATCTGGGCTTACTGTTGTTTATGCACAGCTGCGCATAAACAACACAAGGTCAGGCCTAAGACCTTGACACAGTGCATCCTCCGAAATCAGTAACACACTTGCCATATAGCCGCAATCCTGCAAAATTCTCCAAATTGCATAGAGGATTTTGGAGGATTTGGGAAGGTTAGGTTAATACTTGAAGTTTTTGCTTGGAACAAATCACAGGAATTAACAAAAACACTGAAAAAAATCACACAAATAATCTGGCTAAAGCCAAAACCTTCTCTTAAAATTATTGTGGATGCTTCTCATAAGACATCTCCCACCAACTACATATTAAGAATGTTATGTTAACAAATCCACAAATCCTACGTCATAATGGTCCAAATTTCGTCACCAGCTTTACGCATCCAATGAAGTACACATGCACAAGTAAAAAAGTTTCAAGAAAGGTCAATGAAAGACAAACTTACTGTTGTACGGAGCTTCAATCTGCGGCAGTGCATTCTCAAATATCAACTGAAGCTTGGGATTCTCAAACCACAGTTGGAGCTGGAAAGAAATACAAATTATCTGTGTAGTAAAGTCCATCACAAGTCACTCAGAATTCCAAGTTCACAAGTCCAGTCACAAGTAACAGGTAATGAACATTGACTAAGGAATGCTTTTGTCACAATTTATTTGAATAGCATGTGACCTTGACCTTGGACATGTGATGGATTGGTGATGGTCTCAACTACATGTCAAACACTGCAATATGCTGTCTGTGACAATATATTTGTAGTACAACTACAATGCAGTTGTTGCAAGGAGCCCATAAGGCTTTATATGTAGCTTCGATTGGCTCAATTTTTATATGGCCCCCGCATGAGATAACCAGCCAACATACCAACGCAAATGTCACAGTGCATTGTTTGAGTTCTGTCCGATTATGGCAATTACGTCTGTATTCAGAGTGTTGTTAAGCAAGCCCAAGGTGGAAGTGTTTATGTTGGGCCGGATCGGTGGATCTGTGCCATCATGCAATCGCGCGGAAATGCACTTGCGCAATCGGTCGGTCCTGAAGGAAATCTGAGACTTGACTTGCCTTTTTCAAAACAATCCTCCAGAGCTGTGAATTAGAAAGAAAAGGTGATCGACTGATGGCGGCGCGATCGACCAATGGCGGCATGATCGACCGATAGGGCCCTACATTTACCACTTACCAGTCTGTTACGGATGTACAGGAACAGTTTCTGTGTCTGCGCTGGACTCTGAATGATATCAGGAAAGCAGGCTGCTTCCTGAGCTGTCATCTTATCGCTGGGAAGACGTGCTGAAAAGGCTGCTCCATCAAGACCTATACAAATCAGACCAAACCATGTAATTATTGGATTATTTGTCTTTTCCACTGCAAAGGTTTTGGGGCTGTTAACATTTCAACCAATGCGATTAGAGACATTGAATGGCGATCGTGTAGTGTTGGGCCCGGTTCCTATAAGGGAACAAAATCCACTTTAAAATTATTGGACCTACCAAACTAGTTGGCGACATTCTCAATAAACAGGTAGGCCTATGTCACAGACAGAGGGCAGGGTTTTGATTTTTTGAGGGAAATTTGGGGGTAAAATGACAATCACAGCGCGGTGACAACACGCGACCCCAAAATAAAGATAGCGATCACCGCGTGATGTACCGTGAGCACGCACGGCGCGCTGAATCACAAGGTACAAACCGCGCAGGAAAATTGTGATTTCTACCCCAAGAATCTGTTCAAAATTGCAAACAGGGTGTCATGAGAATTGAGAAAAGTCTGCTTTTGATTGTAAAAGTTGATTTTTGAGCAATAAAAAACATTTTAGACTCTAATTTGATCAAAACAAAACAGGGGCCCTACACTTCACGATCGCCCTTTGAATGGTGAAGAACACAAAAAAATGGAAACATTATCATTTGTGGATACACTATGTGATGATGCGACAAACTCCCAAAAAGAGTTTGTATGTTTTTGCACCAGTTGTGTTTACACTAAAGTTGTTTAACAGTAAATATTTTTCAAGGAAATCCCTCAGTCCTACCTTTGGGTTCTTCCAAATCACTTTCCTCTGGCTCATCTTCTGCTGGTTTTGTGACTTTTTCTTTCTTGAGTTGTCTCTCTTCCTCTGAGAAGTACTCGTCTTCCGAAAGATTGGCCAGCTTTTCATCCATCTCCCGATACTCGACCTGAGCGACATTGTGAATGATAAGTAAGTTGTTCACGGTAAAGATTTCCTGTTTGGTTTCTGTTTCAATACTGTTTGATAGTCCACAGAATACCGACTTTCATGGAAAATAGGCCTACATGTACATGTATTATAAATCAAAAACATGATCAGAATGATTAAATTCAATCAGAGGGAAACACAAGGGCAATTCCACACCAAAGTGGACATGACACCAAAAAATTCAAATACATGTGACTTAAACAAATTTGGCATCAAATGAAAGCTAGAAGTCTATATTTTCAAGATTTGAAGTTGGAATTTTATTTTTTATACATTTCATTACCAAAAAATAGGATGATGTAATAATCCTGTTTTAATCCTAAAAATGTGATTAATAGTGATATGAAAGTATTCTACCAAAACACACACAAAAATATGTACTAATGCCATCAGTTTCTGTCATGAGAAAGTATTGGTCTTGAAAAACCGACTAAAACTTGTTTTTAACATTTTGCGTAATTTGCTTCGCTTCAGTGACTTCAAATATTTCAGCCTTCGAAAATGTCCTTCCGTTACCGAAAATATACATATTTTTAATTTATTTTTAAAACTTGCAGTATGAATGCATTGAAAGTTATTGTGCAAAGCAAGTTTAGGTAGGCCTTCAATATGACATTATAACTGACACTGCTTTTCTTCTCGTTTTTTAATTACAATTAATTAAATCACGTCCTTCCGTTACCAAATTGGTAACGGAAGGACGGTAACGGAAGGACAAATCGTATTTTTATCAAATGTTACGACATTTGCGCTCATGTTTGAAAAATGAAAATCACTGCAAATACGTGCATGTATAATGAGCATTGAAAGGACATTCATGTGACCCACCTTCACAAAAGCGGGATAAGCAGGGCAAGGTGTTTATTACAAAGGAAGGCACAGGCATGTACAACATGTACAATGTACATGTACATATATGCTGATGTACCAGTACTTGTACATGTATGGAGTTGTTGCAGAAAATCAAATCATAAAGTTGCTGCCATCAGCATTCATGGACAATAGAGAAAGATACGAATTCTGTGAAGCCATTCCAGAAGCAAATTAAGTCAAAAATGAGATGGCAGAAAGTACCGGTACTTTGGGGCACTTTCATTCAATTTACATGTGTAAGACATGTGAGGTGCAATCTTTGACAAATTATGCCCAAGTTAACAATTTCAGTTTGGATGTTTATAAATTAATTGTTACTACTCTAAATCATTGTAATTTGATTTCAAACATTGATTTTAGAGTTCAATTAAAAGCAACACCTAACTGAAGCCATCAGTACAACCGGTAGATGTTTTTACCTTAAATGTACATGTAGGCTGGTCCCCCCCCCCCCCCCCACCCTTTAGGTAAACCACTGAACCTACCGGTATTATTATTAAAAGTTGTTGGTGAACATGTAACCAATATACTCAAGAGTTGAAATACTGTGTATTTAAACTTTTAAGGATTGAGGTGATGGGTTTGAAGTCCATTTCTGTAGTTGTCTTGTGTTCGTGAATTATGTGTTTTGGGTTGTTTTCGTTTTTCTTTTGTTATCATTAATTAGCAGGCTTCTATCTTTATCTCAATAGTTTCTTGGGTATAATTATTTATGCCAGGTCTGCATATTGTTGATTTCACATTCAGTTACACATTTCAGTAATTTGTTTCACTTGTATAATTAGTGTAAATTCACATTTTGTTCATGCTGTAATTGAGTAAACCTTTTGTCCTTCCGTTACCGTCCTTCCGTTACCAAATCATAATCTGCTTAAAACGTTGTAATTATATTACCGAAACACTTAAAGTCAAATGAAAGGCGGTATAGTATAGATAAAGCTTCAGGGATTCCATTTCTTACCTTTAAAATATAATTGCCCCATAAAATTCACAGAGTTTACGCAAAACGCGAGTAAGTTGAAAAACCCTTGTCCGTTTTACCGTCCTTCCGTTACCGACCTCATTAATATTCATAATTCAAAAACGGGAGGCATTCTTTCCCCCTCAAAAGTGTGGAAAATGAAAGTAGCATTATAGCAATACAATTGTGACATTTGTTTGCTGTAACTATGAACAGTGTCTGTGATACACACATTTGAAATTTTGTTTAATGAGTGAAAACGTCCTTCCGTTACCGTGGAATTGCCCACAAACATGCCAAAACATTTATTTGTTATCAAATTCAAAAACAAATAGAGAAGTTAATGTAAAAAGTAGTTTGAAAGGAGCCATGAAATGACAATAGGGCCTACATGAAAGATCTGAAATGTAAATAAAAGCAAATACTGGCATCAAATTCAAGTATTTCAAACAAAACAAACAGCAGTGCATTTCAAATTTGATCATAACAAAACTGACTTTATAAGGCCTATAAGTATACCTTAATTAAAAATACAATATTTTTGTTATTACTATCCATATTTTTTTTAATAATAATTAGGATATTATCACTATATGCATATTTTTCATTGTCATTTTCCCCTCATCATTCATGTCATTCATGGCTTGCCTTTGCCCGCTTCCTCTTGCTCTGTCTTCGGGGAGCATCGTGCATTCCTGGGGCTATTTTGAAGGTTTTCTGTACATGTGATCCCGAACCCTGACTGTGGCCGTGGCCATGGCCATGGCTATGCATTCCGTGCGAGATGGAGTGGCTATGTCCGCCCGAGCCGCCGCCGCCACCACCGTTGGCCGCCAGTGTGACACTCGGTCCCGATCCGCTGCTCCCAGATGCCGAACTCCCAGCGTCGGAAGACTGCGGACTTATCCTCTTTTTTGCCTCATCTCCGCTACCACCGTTGTCCTTTTCCTTTTCCTTACGCTCCATGATGTCTACGGACAATGTGTTGCTCCCTCTTTGGCTTAAAAATCCGACGAAATTAGGAATGTTGATTTCTCATCTCGACATTTTACAGGACAAAGAAATTTCCGTACGTGCAAAGATATACGTACGGCGCGTGCAATGTACAATGTAGCACTGCACCGTGTCCTCGGCCTCCGAAATGATTACGGAACAAAAGGAGTATCGGTTACTATCGAGTATCGATTATACTTTTCAATATCGGTTTTCACATGTCATACTTTCGTTATTTTTCTCTTCCAAACTGAGCTTTGTACATCTCATTTGTTATTATTACTTTAATAGAAAGTCCACAAAATTTCTCTAATCATTGAATCGATTGGTTCTACAATTCTCTTAATTGATCGATTGTAAAGTCGAATCGGTAGGCGATCGATTATTTCTCGGTTAAGCAGAAGGTCACCTAAGACTGCTGCCCTTTAAAAACTTATTTTGTAAACACGGTGATTCCCTTTTGGAGATGGGCTCTTGCAAATTCTGTTGAGATGGTTCCCATTGCAAACAAAATCTTATTTGTGATTCATAATGATTCAGAAAAAGTCGAAAATATGGCTTGAAACGGACGGTAAGATTGTAATGAATCAACGTGCATTGTGGGTAATCATGAATGATTGATTAGATAAATAGATTTAGATCCACCATCTTTGATGATTTTAAAGATTCCGTGCGAAATTTAATCTCACAGGGTGAGAAAAAGTAAAAGGGTATCATTTTTGGTGCATTTTCCGTGCGCCATGGATTTTGGTGTTCGGTTGGAACATGTATCTTTCAATCCGTTGCCTCAGAAAGTGAGTATTATTGACAGTTTTCAAGTTAAAACTGCCGTAAATCGGGGTCGTCGCTTGTCGCGGCGCGGTGTTTTTACACACTAGCGCCGTACACAATACGTACGATCTTTTCAATGGGCGTGGTTCTGACGGTGCCGGTGGGGGTATATGAAAGAAGAAGTACCTGGTTGTCATGGCTGTGTACAATTCGTATGGGGGGTATGGAGTGGGGTTGGGCAATCATGCATTTCCTAACAATTGAAATTGGAAATGTTTCTCAGTTTCCATTCCAAATTAATTTCCATGGCATTTTTTTGTTTAAATTTTTATATTTCCAAATTCCAAATTTCCATTCCAAGGGCAAGGTTGATTTGAGTTGAATTCAGTGTTTGTTTAACTTTCTTACATTGTATAGATTTTTGTTTGTTTTAGTATTTTGTTATTTCTATATATTTCTTGCCAACCCCCCCCCCCCCCTTTCGTCAGGGACTGCGCATTCTAAAAACAGCAATCTTTATTTTATCAACAGGTTCCTATGCGCTACTCCTTCAGCTTGGACCAGAAGAGAATCTTGATGAAGCACTATGAGAACGGCATGCATGGGCAGAGCCTGGCCTACCAGGACAAGATTGTGGCTTGTGCTCAAGAGGCTGGGGTAGACTTTGACATTGTCAGGGTAACTACTACTAGTACTAGCCTCATAAATGCAGCCCAGACAGAAGACTGCCTCTGTTTCCAGGGCCCCACAGCCACCTGTGGAAAAAAACACACTGGAATTTGTTTTCTTTTAACTGTACAGGTTTCTTCAGCCTTTCAGGCTTGTGAGAGCTACAGTGCCTAGGCGCTTTTGAGGAATCCTTGGTTTCATTACCAGAATTGATTAATAATAATCATAATTAATTGTTAGCTTAATTTCTGGGTTAGATGACTTTCCTGGTTGCTGAAACACAAAAGAAAGATGTTGACATTCTAAATGTCCATGTATAGTTTCCATTTTATTTCCAGAGAAAAGTTTGATAATTTCGGTCTTGAAATTTTATCTGGAGACTTTAACATGGAAACCAAACTTCTGGGCCTGCCCAGTCTTTCCCCTTTGTTAGTAACCAGGTAAGTATGCAACCAGTAGACGCAAGACAGTCCGTTATTCTCAACTAGGAGAAGCAAATTTTCCTGTGTTTTTTCCACAGGTGGCTGTGGGGCCCAGAATACGCAGTCTAGTATCCAGGACCCGTTAATGAGGCTGGTTAACCAAAGACTGATAAAACAGTTCACCTATGCCTTAAAATATTCAACATGTAGCTATTCAATGGTAGATTTGGTGCCTTGGTTCTAATTTGTGAATATCATTTATAATTTTTTTTTTTTTAGAACTGGATCGGTAACATGCGTCGCAAACGTCGAATGGAAAGCGCACAGAAGAACCCCATGCCTGGCATGATGCTACAGCACGACCAGTCAGCCGAGAACAAACGGCGTTACCTCCTGCCTTCTGGCGCCTTCAGTGGGCCACAGTACATCCTCCGTCACCCGCCAAACGGGGGGCAGCAGCCCACCCAGATAGGACCTGCAACCAGAGCCAGCGCCCCTGGCTCAAACATTTCTCTGCCCTTGAGGAACTCGCCCTTGGCCCCCCGAGACCAGAACGTCAACCAGCCAGTTGGCTCAGGGCAACAGAGTTTGGTAAGGATAGGAAGCCGCATTTAATTCGGTAAACGTTCAACTGAGTGTTCCCGTTTCTCTTACGCTGTACAAAGGTTGCCACTTTTCTCATTATGTGTGCATCGGGTACAACAATTTATATACAATGTATAATCTGGTTGAGTCAATTTAGAAGATGGTTGCCAATAATTGCAAAATGTATAAATTAAACTTCAAGGGATGTAATAACATTCTCCTAATTCTTTGTAAATTAAAATTGCTTACAGGCATCCTCAATTCTTTAAAAAAAATATATCAAGAAGGCAGGTCGCATGAATACGAGATTCCTTTCTAAATTTGTTGGTTCCGTTTAAAACGTTTGTGAAAATTTGTCAACAGATTCTGACTTTTTTTTGTGCAGCCAGGGTCAGGCACCCAGGCAGCGTTCCTGCCGACCCCAGCGAAACAGGAATCCGATGCCGACAAGAGCAGCTGTCTGGTTGCCGGCACGACGACTCATCATCAGCCCGCATCGCAGCCACAGCAGCAAGGAGCCCTGAATGCGACGGCTGTCGACCGATTCCCAGATGAGACGATCCCAGTCATGAGGAGTCAAGGTTTAGCGCCGAGTCTAGAGATCGACGACAGTGAATGGAGGCAACAGCAGATTCAGAGAATAATGCAACAAGTACAGCAATCTGTAAGTTTGTCTTGGAAGGGTTAGTCCCAGATCCATGCTCTGAAGCAAAGTTCAGGGACCCTACAAAATTTATTAAGAGACTCTCTAAATCTTTCATTTTGTACAGATTTGTCAGTTCAGGTTTTATTGTTATGGATTTATTTGGCAGCGTAATTTCTTTTCATGATAAAATAGGAGGTCTTCAAACAGTTACAAGTGTGTTTGCTGTCTGAACTCTTTATTGAGAATTTGTGTTTAACCCTAACTCCCCAGCATGATTTGCTAGGAACCATACCCATCCTGGCAAATTCCAACACCTTATGGGAAACTGCACACACATATTTCTGGCTTTGTTTCTGGAGGTGTGCCAACCCAATTTAAAAGACTGTTAGGCTGCATCCGAATCAGCTGTCTAGAGCTAGGTCTAGGCCTGCGCCCATTGAAAATACGCGGGGACGCGCTGACAATAGACGTAGCCGTAGCTCTGGAAGCCCGTTTCGGACACGGCCTTAGTTTAGGGGTACTGTACCATCCTGACAGATTCCAACAAAACATGCCGTTGGGGGTTTGGCTGAGTTCTGTCAGGGTGAATCAAGTTTACTCTTTTGTCCAATTGTCTAAAAGGTACATCAGTTGGAAAGTCTTGGTTGCGAGTGTGTGGTGGCCAGCGTCGTTCCGTCCGACGGCGGCACCTACATCACCGGTACCCCGGTAGCGGTCCAGTACTTCTCCGAGATCCAGAAGATCCAGGCCATGGCGGACTACGTCAACCCCGCCACCCCGCCTTCCGTTAGCAGCGACGGTGAACCCAACGATGGCGCAGAGGAGGTCGCCGATGGTCCTAACAGCTGCCAGCGGAACCAGCCGGGGCAGGGTACCGGCACAATGAAGGAAGAGATTGAGGGAAAGGAGTGTCTGGACAAGAGAGGGGGCGATCCAACAGATGAGGGTGACGAGGAGAAAGCGGACTTGGATCAGAGGGATGGAGAGGTCATACATGCTGGTAAGTTATCCTCAAATGAAAAATGACAACATTCCAATATTCCGTTTTGGGATATGGTGGACACAATACGGCACTGTTTGGTTTGGGTCAATTTTTGGTAAATGTGAAAGAATTTGCCTAAACCAAATACAGAAATTGAAAAGTGACCTTATTGTGGTCAGGGCTCAGTGACACATTGTATTGTAAAACCTTTATATTTCCACACTATTAACATCTGCTTCTGGGTGATGAGAGGCAATTAAAGAAAAGTGTCTAGCTCAAGGACACAGGGACCATGATCTTTTATTTTAAAGTTTCAATTTTAATTCACACTAGTCTAGAGTAAAAAAAAAAAGAAGTAACCAATGGACTACAAGGCCATTCAACTGAGTACTTATTCACTTTGACAAATGTTTTGGTCTAAATTTTCATTTAATTTTTGTTTTTAACTTAGCTGATTTTCTTGTATTTTTTTTTTTTCAGGGGAGGAGATTTACATAGTCAACAAGGAGCATTACATCATTGGAACTGGTACCTTGCTGCCGGCGCCCCACAGACAAATCGAATTGAAGAACGCACCGCTGTGTTGATGCACCAGGAAGGAGTTTCAGTCCCGTATCTCTGTGAAGCGTTTGTTACAAATGTGTAGAAAGATCTTCTATTTGAAATACTGCCGAAGTCATAGAAGTTAAGAAAATGACCACCACGAACATCCTGCGAAGGTTGGAAAGCCTTGATTAGCGTGAATATCCTAGATATTTGTGGGCACATGTGGTCTAGCAGTAGAGCACAGGCCCCATGCTCGTGGGATTGTGAGTTCGAGCCCCGTCGTGGCCATGCGTGTTGTGCCCTTGAGTAAGGTGCTTTACTTCAATTACTCCTCTCAACCCAGGTGTTAGATGGGTACCGGCATTATTCAATGCTTGGAAGGTAACAGACTCGCTGTGGAGGAGGTGTGGCGATCCCCCACAGCAGCATATGAGTCTGGCCCAATCGCTTTGAAAGAGAGATGGGCACTCCGTTCCTGTGAACACAGGTTCATCCCCTTTACCTTTTTTTTTAATATCCTAGAATGATTAGGAAAGTCACAGAAAAAATATCTTGAGAGAAGTATGCAAAAATCGTGAAACTATTCTGGATACCTCTGTGTTCTGGAAAGTTTATTGAAATCGTGTGATTTTTTGTCAGCCTTGGAAGAGAAGACATGAAACTACTATGTACCGTATTATGGAAATCATGAAAACTCTTTTTTTTGGACAATCTAAAGTGAATTATTGTATACAATTGATTTTTGTCTTGCCATTACCTGAGGTTATATAAAAAATATATGTACTTAAGATTTCTACGCTCGGATTCGAATTATGCTGTGCAGTACTGTGCATATTTGTGAGGCGTCTGGCAAAATGAAACGGAACTGGGCACTGGTTAAAGTAAATAAAAATTAAAAATAAACTGAATAGTGATGAACTTTTTCTGACCTTCAGATTAATTGATATTTGCAATCTTTGATATGTGTACTGCACAAAGAAATAGCATACAAGGTGCAGAATAAAATGTATTTCACAAGAAACAAATTGGCATCTTTCATTTTCACAACTAGGAAACTGGAACGTTCAGGCTTTTTTCAGTATTACGCCGTAACTTGTCAACAGAATGAAGTGCAACAAATAGTATTGTAGGGAAAATTGTATTCTCTTTCCTAAAACCCACAAACCTCTATTTCAACTTCTGCCCAATTCTGTCTCATTTGCCAGAATGCCTAACGTTTTACTTTGAAAAGATTCACGTACAATGAACAAGAGAAGGTGCAAACTGGCTACAATATCCTCAATTAGATAATCAAAACGAAATTATTTTTTATTAAAAATAGAATTTTAATTATCGGAATACTACAAATCTGCCCACCTTGCCATAAAAATGTGTTACATGGAAGACAGTAATGTTATCTTTTTAAATTGATTTATTTCTAGCAGTATTTCCACAGTTCACATGACTCAGATTTGTGTACTTAATTGTTTCAATTTGTTTATATTTACTGTATTTCGTCGTAAAAGACATTACATTCATGTGCCTTTCACTTTGAAATATAATCTTGCTTATGCCTGTGTGATACAGGAACATTTCTGCCATTAATTTATTGTATTGTATAATCTGTGAATTTAAAGTTGTGGAGTACATGAGCTTAAACATGGTGGTTAAAAAACCATTTGTTTGGATGATTTTTGGCGGGATGCTTTCAATGAATGTACTGGTCCCGTTCACTTTTCAAACGGGGACGTGAAGAGTGAAAAGTCCTCCTTCAAAAACATGTTCAATATATAGTCTGTGCAATCCGATTTCCATTTTATTGTGTAATGCATATTGCTAATGTTTAGCAATAAAATCTATTGACTACAGAAACACAGAATGTTTGTAGTATTGAGGTCATCATTTTTTTTGAAGTTCTTTTTGGATAAGAAGAGTTCACATAAGTAGGGGATCGATATATTTGGTTCACCGGTACATCGTTCCTGTGCACTACAACTGTACATGCATGCACACAATACCAGGTGTACAAAACCAGGCCCACAATATAATGAAGGGGGGGGGGTACTTTAAAGGGCCATGTAATGTAATTTTTTTTAATGCAATCATTGAAAATGCATCTTTGTGTCCCATTTAACGTTATTTTCAATATGGTTTTTCCATTTTGGTGTTTGGTATTTATGCTTATGCAAATTTCTATATTCATGAGCAAAACTGTGATGTCATTTCAGGCACTAGAAACCTCAATCTTACAGCTATTTCATCACTGAAAGTTGCCAGAATTTGGGATATTTTGCAGTCGTACATTTTCTTTTCTTTGGTGATTCGTTCTCAGTACATGGCAGTAAGCTAACGAGCAAACTTTTCACACAAATGTTTTCAATGAGCAAATTTTTGGGTTCACAATCTGAACAGAAAATCTCTGAACTGAAGTGTCTGCCTAAAAATGACATCACGGCAACAGCGCCCTCAGTTGTCCAGAAAAGCATGGATAATTTTAAATGTTAATACAGAAGTGCACTTTTCCATAAAATTGACCTATTGCGGCAGAATCGCGTTAAAATTGCGTCAACACAGTTTTTCCAATTACATGATATACAAATTGATGCGGAACGCGCAAAATCTGAGACAAACAAAACTTAGTGCACAAAAACTCCATAGGGTTGTCTAAGGGGCGTGGCTAACTGGCAAACGGCGATAGGTCAATTAACCGAAAATGGATGTCAAACGAACTTTCACGCTCGATGGATGTCAAATACTTTACATACATATAAGAGTAGAAACTTCCACGAAATGTCTTCCTTAGAAAATTCATCACATGGACCCTTTAAAATAAAATCTGGGAAACTCAAATATTCTGGGCAACTCCAGCAGATTTCATGCTAATGAGAGATTCCATGTTAGTTTGGGGGTATAATACAGGGTGAGTAAAAAAAACACAGAACCCAAACCCCCAAAAATATATTTCATGTTTAACAAAAATATGTAGCACGAAAAATAATAATGACTGGAAAGCCAGTTTCACAAGCTATTTTTTGTCCTGTCATTATTATTTTTGGTGCTACATATTTTTTTAAATATGAAATATAATTTTTGGGGTTTGAGTTCTGCTTTTTTTGACTCACCCTGTTCAGCACTGAAAGAGCAATAAACAGGGATAACAGCTTTTTATCACACAGCAGAATTAACTTTTAATTCCTGAAAAAGCGGTACAGAACATTGTTTCACAATGAATGCTTCTTCCCCAAAAAAAGACATGACACCATTCGTTTACATGTAACCTTTCAAATATTTGTAAAAAATACCTTTTTAATCCCTAATCCTACTTAGCATATCAAATGCCTAGGAAACTAGATAATCTCATTTCAGATTATGGAACCTTTTAAAAAAAATTCCATTTTTCCATTCTGTATTCGTACTACTAATATATTTACTTGGGTTAATAACAAAAGGATACAAAAATGTTAGCCTTACTTTGCTGTTGGACGAGTTTTACTTCTTACTAAAAAAGTTTAGTAAAGTTACTTTACGTTTATACTAAAAAAAAGTCAGGCTCTCTACATGGTTAAGTAAACAATGTTAGTAATGACAACTAGGGTACAAGACAAACTCAGACAAGTTGGGCTTTAAGAAAGATAATTCAAAACCTTTTTTGGACAACATGGAAAAGTTAACACTGTGCGGACACGCGACAAAATATCTGAACTGGTGCAAAGACAAAGATGAAAAAAATCTGTTCAACTTTCCAAGATGCAACTCATAAACCTTTGGTACAGAGAGGTATTTCTCAAAGATTACCAAAGAAAGTTTGAACGATTTTGTTTTTTGATTGTTTGAACATTATGTGACATTTCACGATAACAGCATCTACTGAAGTCAGCAGGACAAATACATGTATCACAAAAACAATTGAGCATTGGAAAATTTTGCAGAGTTTTCACTACCTCCTTCTACATAATCAATAACCCATTCCACAAAGATGCGAAGCGCAGTAAAGTTCCTACAATCAAACAGGTGGTGTTTTACTGATTTTGATTTTATTAAGTTAAATGTTTTAGCTAAAACAGCTCTCAAAATTGGGTTGTATCGTCCAATGTACATATACCACATCATTTATCACTCCAGTACTAGTTTTCATTGTAAAACGCCTGAATAAATCCCTGTCGTCTGATTGGTGGGCCGTTGATCGCGCGTCGTTGAATTATTCGTCCCAAATGCTTGGTGCAGCCACACAGCAAAAACAGAAGATCTTTTCCACGGTAAATGGAAGTTCCATTTGCACGGTCACACAATTGGTGGCTCTAACCAATCAGATGGCAAGGATTTATTCAGGTGTTGTATCAAACAAATCATGAATATTTCACATTCCTGCAATGGAAAGAATAATTTCATTTGGTGGAAGATTGAATGTTCCACTTTTCGCCCTTGTGGAATGGAACATTCCATCGGTCACCTCATGAAATTATTCTTACCATTGCACTCATGAACATTTGTTATTTGTATACTAATTAACACTTGGCAAAGACGATCGTGACGCCACCTTTAATCGCTCACGTATAGAGACTATAAACTCATTTTCTGCCGAGCATTTGTGGAATGGGCCCTGGATCCTAAAGACTTTAAACACGAGCAGACTAAACGGCAGACAAATACAAGTCATTGTCGGTCTAAGACAAGCCACTTTTTATATTAAGCTGAATTGTGGTTTCACCATGAGGCACATTTCCTGCCCACCTACTACCGAGGTGCAGTTCTGTGGAGGGGAAACTAGGGTTGTATTCTCCAAAATTTATCCCATCCTATACAACCATACCCACCACCTAGTACCCACCCCAAACCCCCACCCCATCCCCGCTCCTATCCCCCGCCCGAACCCCCTATCCCCCGCCCCACCAAAAAACAAAGGTGTACAAAAACCATGGTTTTTCGGATAGAACACGCAAGCAATTAATGTAGTGCATAAGGATGCACCCCTAAAAAAAAATTTTTTTAAAAATTGAGAGCCATAATTTTTAGTATAGTTTTAAAATGTTACAAAATTGAAGATGTTGTAAGATGCTACTGAACTTGTTTAAATCTAAATATTTATAAACTTGTCCACCCCACAGAACTACACCTGCAGCCCCACCCCTAGCATAAGACACTCACATTTTGAAGACATTTTAGCCGTAGTTAAACAAATGAAACGATTAGTCTAACGACACAATTTTTTCAACCTAAACCACCAACAAGTGAAATTTGTGGCCATTCAAAATACTTTACATGAATCTAAAGATACATTCCTATACAGAGACTTTCATAAACTTTCATCTAGATATATACTCCATTCTGAATCCACCATTGTACACTTTTCACATAACTGTTTTAGACCTCTTTCTAATACATGTATAGTATGTCCAATCACTCTCAACTTCCAATAGACTTTTTCAAACTTACAGAAGCTTTTACAGATTATGAACAATTACCTTTTTTTTCTCTTGTCATATTCTTTTCAAAGTATGTTCGACATGATCTACAAGCGTTACCGTTAACATTTTCCGATCTATTTACATTCCAGTTTCACTTCTCAAACTTCGACTTTTTGGTGTTCAAAACCAATTCTGTCACCGCCATCTTTGACTAGTTCCTCGAACAGCAAATTTAGAAATCTTTTCAAAGTGTTTCATCTCATATTGGTGCCAGTCTATTTGCAGTCCCTTGCCAATATCAATACATTTACATTTTACAAACTACCAAATAAGAAACACTTGACATTTTTTAACACAAAACCCAGAAGGCAATCTCCAGCTTCAATAGTCCGGTGCACATAACGCCAGGACAAACTTTACAGTGATCTTGACAATAGAGTCTGAGAACTAGACAAAGATGGTGCACACTCTCTTTTGTACACGTTTAAACTTTCGGCAGGTCTTAAACCTTCGGCAGTCTTATTTTTATCTACATATACAACTACACTTCTTTCCATCCTAAAAAAGAATAACATTTCTACAAGACTAGAAGATGACACTTATAGTAGCCTTGCCAGACACTGTTGAAACTCACAATTAAACGAAGTAATAATGTACAATTGAAGATAAACATGTATTTAACTTATCAGAAAAGACCCAACAAAATTTTTAAGATCTGAAATATTAAACTTGTATCTTTTCCTTTGAGAGACAGGAAAACATTTTTTCTTCAAAAAATCCAGTTTGATGGAATGCCCTTTTTCATGGATGCTTTCATACGTGGATGACATATATTATAAAAGGGCTTCTTTAACATCTTATTCATTTTTTATTACAAAAATGTATTTGTCATCTTTCACAGTAAAAATACAATCGCTACAATATTCATGCGGATGGGTCTGGTCATAAAGAGTTCTTCAAACTATTTTTTATTTTTGAGGGGGGAATATTTTTTTTAAATATCTTGAAATACATGTACACAACCCTACAAGTTTACTATTTGCATTGACTTTTCAGAGTTTTAGTATTATTTACTGCTAGCTATACTTAGTACAAAATGAAAATCACTGACGAAGTACTTGGTTTCATGATACACTTACTAAGATCACAAAACTGCAGCATTTTACGTAATCATAAAAATTGGTAAACAATTTCTAAAGAGCTTTTGTATTACTCGATACAGTGTTTTGCCTTTGTGTAATGTTAAGATTTACTGAAAACTTGTGACACAAAAATAAGTAAATGTCAGTTGGAACAATAAAAAAAAGTCACCACACCATATCAAACAAAAAAGATATGAAATATCATTTTTTTTGTTTTTTACTTTTGACTGGATCCAACTGTGAAGAACACAGTTATCATGAAGCAAAATGAGAGAATGCATTTTAAGCAAAATAGGTAAATATCTTAATATCTTTGTGACTGTTTTTCCTCAACATTTTTCAAAAGTTGTAAAAATGTCCAAAGCTCTTTAGAAATCATTACGTAAAGCACCCTGTGTTATCGAAGCATTGTTGAGCAGCAAATAAATGTATAAAAGCAGACTTCTTCCTTTTTTGGGAACGGTATTATTTTTTTAACGTATAAAATTATTTCCAAATGCAGCACGTTGTAACATGAATCACAATGCAAAGTTATGGACGGTCACTGACTGACATATTTTGATTATGTTTATTTTATGATTATGTTTATTTTATGATTGTGTTTACAAATGTTTAGGCTCTTTTAGGTACAGTACCATGCAATGCACATAGTGATCATGTACTACATGTGTATATGACTAAAATACGTAGTTATAGGAGTTACCCTGGTCATGATTCCAGAAGACATGACCACAAGTTAGTACCTGACCATGTAACGGGTACCAGTCTACAAAGTCCTTAGCACACTATCTGTACACGGATATGGCTATGACTACTGCTATTGAAATACTATTGGGATATGAGTATATCAGTGAACATGTAAATAGCGGCGTGTTGGTAAAAGGTAAAAGGGACCGGATTTCATAGGAGTCCAAATTTCATGTGACACCCGAAAAGTGTTTAAAACCAGCCAGCCCGTGTAATCAACCGTTTAAAACCATACACGTGACGGCTCTCGACCAATAGGAATGGATAAAATTGTAGTTGAAACCTATAGCCAATAGCCATAGCCAGAGCCTAAAAGGTAAGATGGTTATCCTGTCAGAGACTGTACAAAAACCATACAATTATGTCCATGGCAACAAGTCATGTCTAGAAATTAATATCATAAAGCATTAAAGCAATGTACTATAAGTTCTAAGTCAACAAAGATAAGTTTAATGTGTTGTATCTGGCAGCTCTTCAAAATACAAAATTATATGATTTTGAAAAAAAACTATGTTGGCTTATATTTTATTTTCTCAAATGGCAGTTTTGTGTTTATATATATTTTTTTAATTTCCAATTTCTGATTGCATTTTTTTCACTTCAAGACTTTCAAATTTAACACTGTTGTGGCAGTTACAAATACAAAAATATCATAATTTTGTGTGAGATTTTCATGGATGTACTTTCTTTACACTTACACGCCATGTGCCAATGGTAAACTTGGCCCCTAAAAAATTGAACATGTTTGGTGTGCCTGCCTGGTTGCATTATAGAAGCAGCCTTCAGTCTGTCATTGGTACATTTCGTATTCGTTAAAACAACTGACAGAAAGAGAAATTGTTTCATAAAGAGAGGAAACATAAAAATGCATATCTTTTGCAGGGAAGCAAGTAGCCACTTTGACAAAAATCAATTTCTGGTAGCCATCTTAATCATAACAGTTTGAACCTTGTAAGAGGCCTCTTTTTCCCTTTTTTTGACCAGTTCACGTCGGAGGACGTATGACAGCACTGGCTGTTTTTATACACAGGTGCGGCTGATGGGTTAAGACATCAAGATTTCCTCGACTCCCCTTCGGGTGACGTCTAAATATGATAATCCCTCGTGCCTTTTGTAAACACACAAAGTCTGTGAAGTCTGTGGAGCTTGAATTGGCTGTTGTGCACAGCCTATTGTTCTACATTTATGCTCCAACCCACACCCCAGAGTTTTGAAACATGTGAGGTTTCGGCAAGAAATATCGTACAAATACTGTTGAAATGACTCTTGCGAATCAGTATTTGTGGTGTTTGGCTGTGTATCAAAAGTTGGCTGGAAGATTTTGCCTTTTGCGAAAATTGAAATTTTTCGGCAAAAATAATCCTGGCGCGAAGAAAATTAGGACAATTGACGCTTGTTTGGTAGACATGGCCCAAACAGAATTTTTGCCTTTGGAAAAAGGGATTGTTCATTATTTTTTTCTTTGAATAATTTGACATGGTTTGGCACCAGCAAACCACACAGCAAGCCTCCATAAATTGTTTATCTATTTATTTGTTTTGCTCTGTAGTACCACCATGGTAACCGTATTATAGGTAAATTGGGACATCCAGGAACTTCTGAAATCTACATGTCTAGTTCCCAGACTCATTTTCATAAAACTGAATGGTTCTTGCATCTGGAGTGCTGAATGGTAATGCAAAGCAACCGGTACAAACGTGTGCCTCATGACAAGTTGTTTTACCGGCTGATGCAATCCCGCGCTGCCCTATAGTGATTATACTGTATACAAATACATTTCTTGGCACTACACTGTCCACGTTGTTGAAAAATATGTCTATATTTCCTTGCATAGGGCTGTTTTGGTTATATTGGTCCCAATTTCACCTTTTAAGATATGCTAATATATTCACATTAAAAAAAAATTCCTTTATGTATTTACGATATGCGTAGTGTACAAGATATAGCACCTGATGTTTGGGCAGTTAAAAAAATTATAGAAGTACTTTTCCTTTTGAAAATGTAGTGTGACAAAAATTTGAGTTTAGGAAAAAGTACCAGAACAAATAATATTGGGTAAAAAAAAAACATTTTTTCACATTATGTTTTTCTTCTTGTTGATCACTGGTGTTAAAAATCTTTGATTACGGTAAATGTGATTTTGATTTTCACTATGATTCGTAAAGGAAATGTTATTAGGAATCCCCAAAATAGAAATCAATGAAGTATCTCAACACATAGAAATAAATAGAACAGAAAAAAAAAAATCAAATACAAGTGTTAATCTATTTACAATTACAATTTACATGGTTCTACTACTAATAACTGACAAATGTACAAATAAATAGCTAATTACTGTGCTGTCCCTTTGGAGTTTTGAAAAAAAATATTTACAAAGAAATTAAAAACAAATAGGTGCTGTGCTGGTTGTAGAACTTTACTACACTGGTGCAGTGGGTTCCTAGTATGTGAGAATGCTTTAGATTTGAAGCCCAAGTTAAGTGTAAACATACAATAGCCCTTGCTTTGCTACATTCTCCAAAACACTTCAATATTTGCACATTTTGCTTGTAAAGTCAATGGCCGGTAAGAGAGCAAGGTCTAATGATGGAAACATGTATACACTGTTTACATTGTATATATTGTACATAGGATACATTGTATACGTTGTATACATTGTATACGTTGTATACATTGTATACGTTGTATACATTGTATACACTGTATATACATTGTATACACTGTATATACGCTGTATACATTGTATACGCTGTATACATTGTATACGCTGTATACATTGTATACGCTGTATACATTGTATACGCTGTATACATTGTATAGGTTGTATACATTGTATACGTTGTATACATTGTATATATAGTACACATTGTATACATACATTTCGCTTGGCCATACCAGCTTGCTGTGCTTGTAAAACCCATCTGGCCTTCAGTAGGCAGAATGCATTATATCACCGACCATGGATTTGCCACAGACTCTTCTGTGGACAAACCGTGAGTCTATCGCGAGTCAATCCCAAGTCAAGTCACAAGCTATTCAAATGAACTGTGACAAATGCATTCCTTTTGTTACTGTACATTCTCTTGTGACCAGACTTGTGAATTGACTTGTGCTGTACAAGTGACCCGACTTGAGATGGAATTGAGATGGAGTCAACTACCACACTGCACTGGTGTGGAACAATTGGCGTGAAAAATCCGTAAGACAATATCTTGACATAAAAAAAGAAATATTCTGTTTTCACAGATACTGTTTTGCATGTTGTTTAAGAAATAATGCAATCCCAGCATTTTCAGAGTATCGGATGTTGGTACAGCTTCGTTAAGCCAACTCAACTACATACACGTACATATCCATGTTCCCCTCATTTATATATCATCAATAGCTTACACTGCTGCCTCTTACGTTCACGACCCATGCAGAGCAACTTGATTGCAACAATTCTGTTACACATACCTCGGACGAACGCTGATCAAATCAACCCAATAATTACAGCGAAAACTGTATCCAAAATGTGATTTGTTCCAGTGTCTTTGACTAAACAATGCTAATTCAACGTACTGCTGTAGAGAGAACTAACACAATACTACACGTACTTCTACTTGTACCTCAGTCTAGTGTGGCCTTTTAGAAGCCTATTTGAGGTCCGTCCGACATTATTTGCAGCGAGTAAGCACCGACGAGAAGCAGCATCTGCAATGCAAAAGACAAAATATATCCTTAAAAGTGGGAAAGATCTTTGTCATTTGTGCATTTTTTTGTTTGAAGCAACAAAAGCGCTCAAAATCTAAAGACGGGTGCTTAACTAACCTGATGAAGTTTTAGCTCTGTGAATGCTGTATATTCCGAGAAAAAGATATTCTAGGATCTTGGTTTCAATTCAAAAGTTGCAGACTCATGGTTCTGAATTGCGCCCGAAATCAGCGTCCGGGACACGTTCTCATTCAGCCGATTGCAGCTACGCGATGTTACGCACTGAATTGACGAATATTTAACGACCGCGCACGTGTGCGTCGTGTCAACGCTTGAAGGATTTGCCAAATTACAAACAAACTACATGTACTAGCAGAAATTTCCAAAAATGCGTCACTGGACGCATCTTTGGAAATGGCCTTGTTTTATTGTTTTCTTCAAAATGACAGCATGCCAGAAAGAAAAAATTCACAGGGAGTTCACTGCCGTTACTATCTTTGAACTAAGTAAGTTTTTCAACAGAAATTTGTCAGTTATTTTCTTGATAGCTGCAAATAATCTACTATACCTTTAAGACTGCATAGACTTCAATAAATACCAAATGCAATAGAGGGTACTTGACAAGGCTTCTCATTTATAGTTCAAATTTTTCAAAAAAATTGGTGTGGAGATGCCACTTTAAAAAAAATAGAGAAAAAAGTGATGAACAACAACCCACAATGTGATTCTGTGGAAAGTTTTGTTTCTGAAAAGCTTCTTATAAACTTCTGAAAAGCTTCTTACATGTATAAACTTCTGAAATTATTCAATCGTTACCTTAGTGTAGGGGTCACAGATGGTCTTAACCGTTATCAAATTACGGCCATTCTTCGGTAGAAACGAGAGTAGAAAATTGGAACCCTGCGTGAGAATCACAACAACAAATAAAACTTAAGAAATCGTGCGCTTTTCATGGAAATTTGAAATATCAACCAATGGCAAGATAGCTCATTTTTAGAGGACTCAAATGATATGCCACTCCCTCCAATGGATTTTCACTCACCCTAAAAATTGTTTTGTGACAACTTTTCACTTTTTGGATTTCCCTGAACCAATTTATAAAAAAGTCAAACGTTCAGATACTAGATCGGCAGATACCACGCTCGAGATATGCTGGACTGTGTGGCAATGTGCATTAGATGTGTTAATGTGTTGGCCAAAGAGTATTTTACACCCAACTTTGTGAAAATTTGTGGACACCCAGTATTACTGAACAATTTTGTAGAACAATAGTGTCTGTGAAAGTGTGGATGCTAAATTTTACGTTTACAGCACACTTGCCACTGAAAAATAAAATAAGAGCTCCACATCATTGCCAGAACCCAGGCTGGAAATCAACTGTGCATAAATGTGAGGCGTTCTGGAAACATGAGACAGAACTGGGCAGAGGTTGAGATGAAGGTTGGCAGGTTTTAGGAAAGAGAATAAAATTCTCCTTATAATACTGTTTGTTGCACTTCAATCGTACATTCCGTTGACAAATTGTGGCTGTTTGAAGTTTGCATTTATCAACGTCAAACAAGTCAAATACTGAGAAAAAGGCCTTTAAAGTTTCAAGTTTTGTAGTCGTGAAAATGAAAGAAGCCAGTTGTTTTTCCTTAAACAACACTTTTATTCCACGGTTTCTTCAAAATATGTGTAGTAGACATATCAAAGATTACAAATATCACTAAATCTGAAAATAGAAAAAAAATCACCCCCATTTTTTGTGTTACTTTTTTCCCCGCTATGGCCTGTGCCCAGTTCCGTCTCATTTTGCAAGAACGCCTCACAAATTGTACGATATGTAAAAGAAGACTTAAAGTACTTAAATCCATTTGTCTAACTCACGTACCTGAGACAGTTGGGGAAGGTCTTGCCCGTTGAGTGTCACCTTGTAGACAAAGCTGTGGCCATTCAGTCGGCACATCAGACCGTTCAAGCCGATCTGAGCATGACCGATGAACAACACATTGCCACAACCTGTAGAAATAAAACTGAAGTACTTACTCACAGATTCCTCATAGTCACATTTGCCGTATTAGGTTTGTGCCAATAAAAAAATTCTGGTACATTCCGAACTACATGTACATGTAAAGACAGCATCTGAATGACTTCGATGCAGCCAGCAGTAAACAAGTGTCTATTAATGGGAAGTGGATTAGGCCACTAACATGTTCTCCTGTGAAGTTTGCCGTGAATGTTGTATGACGTCAAATTCACTTCAAGTGCTCGCATGAACCTGCCCCTAATCCTAAAAGGACTCGTTGGGGAGGAATAGAGGGGTTAGAATCTGCACCCCTAATACCCTCAGTATATTTTTGCCTAAAAATCTGCAGTTTTTCATTGGCCGTGTGTAGGAAAGAGCACTCATTCACATAAGAAAGCAAGCAACATTTACTAACCACAATTATGAAACAATTTGTCTGACCGAGTTTAAAACATGAAAATGAATAAAACTGCTGCAAACTGCTTTCTGACAAGATTGCCTGAAATATACAAATCAAGAAATTAAGACGGCCTGACGTTGCGATCTTAACAAGATCTTCTTCAGAGGTACAATGAGTTTAAAACATTGCAAACCAAATTTGAAAAACAGTTTTTGGATCATATTGTATTCCTGAGGGATGAAATCTGTCCTGTCCATTACATTCCCCCTTCCCGGCTGTGAGATGGCTGAAAAACCCACACTTTTCTGGATTAAGTCTATACTTGCTGGCACTGCCTTGTCATTGCTATTTATTTTTCAAAAAGTCAAATTCTGGCTCTACCTTGGTTGTGAGAGTACTGTCTGGTGTCATGATTGAGGTAGATATGGTGTTCAGTACTCTCACGGATCCGGAAGCACTGAAGGGGAAACACTGGCTTCATGAGCTTGGCCGTGCCGCACAGGTACTGGTTGATAGTATTCTCAAACTGCATGACCACCCTGGAAGGAGAAGAGCCAAGAGTTTCATTATCACAGGTAACACTGGGTAAAGAACAGCTATGAATATGTGGTTGCATGTATACTGATAGTACTCTCAAACTGCTTTGACCACCCTGGAAAGAGAAGAGCTGAGAGTTTCATTATCACTGTCAACACTGGTCACTGGAAAAAACAGAAAAACGAGTATGTTTCTGGCTGCATGCAAGCAATGATAGCAATGCATGACTACCCTGGAAAGAGAAAAGCCAGGATCAAGTGAGTGCCTACATGGTGACAGTAGTCTTAAAGTGCATGATTTTCCTTGAAGGAAAGGGCCAAATGCAACATTTTCAAAGACCACTACAAAAAGAATGGCTGTGATCGAGTGAGGGCATGCAGGTAAACGCAATGGTTATAATAATGTCACGTGTAAGGCCTCCTGGAATGAGAAAAGCCAGGAGTTCTTTATAAGGCAACCCTGGAAAAAGAACAGCTATGATCAAGGGAATGCACATCAGTAATGCTGAAATAGAAGAGCTATATGACAACCTCTCTGTGCGGATGTGAAATCAATGTATGTCTGATATTCTGCAGTCTACCTGTGTTTAATGCATGGACTCCTCAATTACAAACAAAACCGAGAGAAATGACAGACAGTCATCATGCACCCAGTGCCCATGCACAGCTGCTATGGATTTTTGCACAATAGATGAAAAACCATCTTGCGTACTCCGCGACAGGAGCGAAAAACCAGTACGCAAATGCACTGACGTTTAATGGTGGCTCATATGAGCACGTAAAACAGTTTCACATGCTGTCCTTGCATAGCCCCTCCCCCCCCCCATTATGCTACTGAAAGGGTACATTTAGGAAACAAAGGAACATGACGAGTCTGTACCCATTGATGTGGTTGCCTATGATGTCATAGACATCGGGATGTTTGTACAGGATGGCGTATTCCAAGGACGTGTTGGCAGATGGGCTAGTAACGGCCCAGTTGGCTCCAAACATCAGCAGCAGGTTGACAATCTGGGCGTGACCTCGTTTAGAAGCCTGTTGGAAAAACAAGCATAAAACAATTCAAAGTGTGTAACAAAACCATACGCAACTACACTTAAATCTTTAAAAGTAACTGGCGTATTATTGTTAAAAAACATACTTGGTTGAAAGATAGTAAGCGGACTAAACTCTCCCTGTGAAATTAATCATTCTGGCAAGCTATCATTTTGAAGTAATCAACGAAAGAAGGCCTTTCTAACGGTGAGTCTTAAGACACACCATAGGAAAATTTAAATTAGTAGTTCGTTTTGTTATTCGGCGCAGCGCGCACAAGTATTGGAACGACGCACACGCACCCCCGGTTGCTATAATTCATCGGATCAGTGCGCGACATCGCGTAAAGCTGCAATTCAAAACAATTCAAAACAGATTCAGCAACTTTTGATTTGAAATTGAGATCCTAGAATGCTGTTTTTCTCAGAATATACAGCTGAAGCTGAGCTGAAACTTCATCAGGTTTGTTCAGTATCCTTCATTAGATTTTGAACACTTTTGTTGCTTCAAACAAACAAAATGCACAAGCTACAAATGATGGACTATATCTTTAATAATCTAAAATTAACCTTTTCTGTAATCTGGGTCAATGTTTAGGTACAAGTATATACAACTGATCATACATAATAAAATGGTACTTTAACATTTAAATTCATTTTTGTTGTGGAGTTTTTGGAGTCAAGTCTGTCACACTGAGAGACAGTAAAATATGGCCAAGTATTGACTTTCCCCAGATTACATTTGGGATGCTAACAAGTACCTTCATCATGGCCGTTTCTCCTGTTGAGGCTTGCTGCAGGTTGACATGGGCACCGGCTTCTAGGAGTATGGCTACTATGTTGTAGTACCCCTGGAAAATAAGAGCGGTAATTTTTAATCATGAAAATAAAGTTAACGTTGATTTTTCTGGGTCTTTAATTTATCCATAATCACCCAATGTGATTTTTCTCTTTTTTTTTGTTGGTTCTTTTGAAATATTGAGTTCCTGTTCAGTTCACATATCCTCGGTACAGTCTGTGTACACCTTTGGTGATCAACTAGTGATGGACTTGTGAGGACTTGTGATGGACTTGATGATGTAGCACCTTGAGCACCAAGACTGGTGACATGTGCTTCCTAAATACACATTATTATTATTATTATTTGTGAAGACTTGTGAGGACTTGTGATGGATTTGTGGACTTGGGATGGACTTCTGATGGACCTGTGAGGACTTGTGATGGACTTGTGAGGACTTGTGATGGACTTGTGATGGACTTGTGAGGACTTGTGATGGACTGGTGAGGACTTATAATGGACTTGTGAGGACTTGTGATGGACTTGTGAGGACTTGTGATGGACTCGTGAGGACTTGTGAGGACTTGTGAGGATTTGTGATGGACTCGTGAGGACTTGTGATGGACTTGTGAGGACTTGTGATGGACTTGTGAGGACTTGTGATGGACTCATGAGGACTTGTGATGTACTTGTGAGGACTTGTGATGGACTTGTGAGGATTTTTGAGGACTTATAATGGGCTTGTGATGGACTTGTGGACTTTTGAGGACTTGTGAGGACTTGTGATGGAATCGTGAGGACTTGTGATGGAACTGTGATAATTATTTTGAGGATTTGTGAGGACTCGTAATGGACTTGTGAGGACTTGTGTGGACTTCTGAGCACCTGTTAGCAATTATGAGGACTTGACTGCAACACTGCTAGGGAGTTAGGAAACTCCGTGTTTACAAGTCCTTACCATATCCGTAGCAAACATCAAGGGTGTCAAGCCGCTCTTGGTCTGCAGCACATTGACCAGGGCACCGTTAGCGATCAGCAGCTTGGCGATTTCATCGTGTCTGTTCATGCAGGCGTGCATCAGCAGTGTGGAGCCACAGATGGGGTCATGCTGCTCCAGGTCGTGGGAGCCGTTCAGCCAGAGGGCCTCACGGACGCGCTCGGTCAGACCATCCTTCACTGCCTGCTTCAGGGCATCTGAAATAAAAGTGAAAAATCCTGAATGAAAATTCCTTACACTAACTGTGTGTGAAAACCACATATATGGGCAATTGCAGCGTTATTAAAGGCAATGAAATGTCTGTGACAGAGCCAATTAACCATGATATCTAACTAATGATTCAGAGAAATTATCCAAGTCCATAATCTCCTCGACCATTACGAGATGATGGATGTATAAGATTTGAAAAACCACATTTTCAGGTTTATTCATTGAGATCTTAAAAGCTGTCTGGGACATTACATTATGCTGGAATTACTGAAATTTATCAGGCAGCTCCCCTCAATGCTAAGAATGGAATTCATAAAATGAGAAAAAAATCTGATTTCAAGAAAAACTTTCTTGTCTCACTCACTAGAAATATTTTCTAGGGAGTGAGACTGGAAAATGTTTCTTGAAACAAGAATTAATTTCTTGTATTAAGACATGTATGAAAATCATATGTATAGCAGTGCTGCTGCAATCATGATGTAAATTTAAGTTCGATTTTAAATAAGGCCAAAAAAAAAAATATTCGGTCTCTGGTCAGACCAAAGTTCCAGAATTGACGCGGCCACGCGGCTTTTTTTTTTTTTTTTTTGCTTTTTTTTCTTTTTCTTCAAGCTTGGATTGTACAGACAAGGTGGGTACTATTTTGCTTTTTTGGTGTCCTCATGTACATTGGTGTCCTCCATAATTTGCCTTGGTGCTTTCGATCATTTGCCTTGGTGCAATTTCCCATTCCTTGGTGCTCTTTGGTAAAAAAAAATTGAGGAGGTGCGGAAATAGAGGGTGCTGTTGGAGCTACCGCGGAACATTTTGGGAAAAAAAAAATTCGACGCGCATGATTAAAATCGACGCGCGCGCTGACCAGAGACCGACTTTTTGGGGCCTAAGCATGATTTTTTTTTAATTATTCATGTTTTAACTCATATTTGAATACACTTTCCATTGGATAGAATGAAGAGGCTAGATCATGAATATGCAAAAGGCTTTTGATTATTCATGATTTAACTAATTCCTATACTTACCATTGGATAATATGATGGGGGACAGTCCTGGCTTGACCCATGGCTCGTCGGGTGACGTATCCTCCTCAAAATCAAACTCAATACCACCTGGAAATTCCAAGGTACAAAATCAGTACAACGAACAAATCAAGGAAAACGGTATTACGACTGACGCATATGTACATGTACACAACACACATGTAAAGTATAAGAATTGAAGTGAAACCTACCATAGGGCTATGTTAAATTACTAGAGCGCTAACTCCTAATTCTTATGCGCGGAGCTACTTTGAAGCCGTCCTGCACGCAGACATTTTGAATTCATGGGCGTGTTTGTAGAACAGAATGAAATTAGATAAAGTGAATTTTGAAAGTGTACTCTAAATGCAATGCGCAAGTACAACATACACAAGCAACAAAAGTACATGTACGTCATGACGGTTAAAAACGTCAAGGCAAAAATCATCTGCAGAGGATACGTTCACGCCTTTGCGTTGAGCAAAATGAAATGCTCATTTAGTGATTGTGCATTTCGGTTTTGGGCATATTGGCTTTGATAATGCACTGGTCTACAATACAAATGCAGATATGCAAATAGCCATTCAAAAGCCGTACAAAATTTTGAGTCTCCATAGGTTTGTGCACAAACATGGATGCGCCCAGCAGGCATCACTTTGTACATCGAGTCAGCGCTCTAGTAATTTAATATAGCTCTATGAACCTAACCCAGCCTAATCAGCCACTATTGGCTTTGCCAACAAATGAAGAGTTAGATGAACAAAGCCTGTAAAACATTTTAACAGTTTTTAAATCCAATGTTATTTGATAATTTCTTATTTATTTCTGGTAATGCAACCAAGGATTCCTCAAAAGTGCCCTAGGCACTGTAGCTCGCAAGCCTGAAGAAACCCGTAGGGAGAAAACAATGAGAAGAAAGTACACTTTTAGAGGTGGGAGGAAAACCCCAGAAGAATATTCTGAGGAAAACCCACGGAATCAGGCAAGAACCGCTACGCCAACCTGACTCCCAAAGTTCAGGTATCTTTGTTAAAATAATTACATGTACAAAACGCATTGAGACAATAAAACTTTGCTGTCAAGAAATCTCTTGTGAGTTTGTGTGGTTCTGAAAACAACAGGCGGAAACATCAGACAGTGAATGAAACAGAGAATGAAACAGTTTAAGAAATCAGTACCTTGTTTAGGACATGCCTGTGCGAGCAATTCCTGAATTTCACTAGAAAGAGACGGCTCACTTAATAGCAGAGCACCACTATCATGCAAAGCAGGTTCTATAAGCACAGACAAGTGAAAAGCAGCATTTAGGAAAAAAGTGTCTTGAAATGAAGCAAATAAAGAGTTAAAAGCACACGTGTATGTAGTGCTGTTCCATACCGTACATGTAGGTGTTATGTGTATTACAAAGATAAGCCATTTGCAATGCAACATTGGTAATAAAAAATGAGGTTATTCCCAGTTCACGTCGGATGACCTGTATACACGCAAAGATTTTGCAGTATTGGGAACAGATGTCGGAAAAACATGCAACGAGCGAGGTTGGAAATATCTGTCTGCAACCCGCACGCAGCGAGCGAGGCCGGAAATACGCACACACAGGGTGTGCTACCAGCAGATGACGACCTGAACCCGTCTGGCATCGAGGTTCGCGAAAACAATCCCGCGCCCGGGTCCAGTCAGTGTCAAAATAATCCCGGCGCGAACTGGTTAATAAGGGAATAAATATGTGCTAGGCCAGTTTTAAACAAGTACGTTTAAAACGGACTATGGGTCTGGTTGGGCCCCTAGCCGGTTTTAAATCCACATGTACATGTTTTACAGACCAAGACCATATCTATTCCCACTCATAAATTACTTTTCGGTCAAAAAGTCAAATCAAGTAAAAAATTCACAAATTTCCTAAGATTTTGTTCAACAATTTACTTCATATTTGGTGAAACACCTCTCTGGCCATGTCTATGGTATGTGCCTCGAACGTGTAGTGCTAAAAATCTCCTTATATGGAAACTGGCGCACAGACGGGACATACCGGTACTGCACAATGTGGCACAGAACACAGGAATTGTGTTTGAAAACCAGCCGGTGTTTTACCAGCGGTTTAAAACCACCCACGTGACGGCCTCTTGACTGATAGGAATGGGTAAACTGTCTCAGATTTTTATGAGGTTAATAAAATGAGGTTAATTACATAATCAATATCTGGTTTATCATAACTAACCTTGTGATCTTTTAGTTGTGAAACTAATGTGCTTTCATTTTCAGAAGGCAAAGACAAAACTGCATGCATTTTTCTTTTGCTAAAAATGTTGCTTAAAAGTTCATGCAAACATGCATCTCACTTCAAGAATGGCACTTACATATTTTTAAAGTGGCAAAAAGATTTTCTGAAACACGAGTAATTCTAAGGAGTAAATTCTGAAAGGTACATGTACCGTAGCTCATGTAAATGTAACCAGTTACAAATCAACTTTCAAAATTCAAAACTGAATGTTAGTTTAAAATCCGAGGTAAATCAATGTCAATGAATGTTGAAAATAAACAAACTAAAACGAAGCAAATCAAAACATCTTCATACATGCAGACACACATACACAACACATCAAGAAGCACATGCTGAAATTTGGGGTTAAACATCCCAAAAATGGGAAAATATAACTTAAATATAAGTGCATACATGTGTGCAATCTGTTATAATAAGCATCCAGACATCACTGACATTTCAACAAAATGACAACGCAAGGCAAACTGAACTAGTGGAGTGCAGAGCTTTTGGGGTAAACACAAATGTAATGACGAAAATGTGAGATTAGTGTCAAAACTCTTTCACTTGGTGAAAAACTTGTCGACAAGATACCTCTGACCGAACGTATCTTCTTCTTGGATTTGCCACGCTCAGCTTTTGGTTTATCTGTTTTCTCTTTCTTCCTGGAGGTCTTGGAGGATTTTTTGGGCTCTTTCTTCCCGTCCTCTGCGGCGGGACATTTTTGGGACGGACGGTCTTTCTTTGATGGTTTGAGGGAGGGTTTAATACCTGGTTTGGTTGGGTTCGGGCCTGTCTTACGCTGCTTCTCTGTATACACATTAACACAGAGCATACCAGAAAATGTACTTCAATTGCAAACACATACACACATGCAATGCCCAAGCATAGATACATGTACCTATAAGTGTGCAGCACCATGCGTTACAAGCAACAAAGCACCACACGCATCACATTAAGGCTGCGTAAGAATTACGTGGCTATGGCTAAAAATAACACACTGGTCTATGAGAAGTGGTTGCAGCCGCTGCCATAGGCACGCCTGTAAAATGTGCAGCCGTAGCCAAGTCACTCGGACAAGTATGCCCTTACCCTTTTCAACTATGGCAGGTGAATACATGTACACACACACACACACACATGTTTGTTTTACATACGCTACGTGGACATTCCTTTGTTTTCGTGTAGTCATGGTAGTTAAGAAAACTCGGTACAAAAAATAACTTTACTTGAACTGTGAAAACTCTTTTAACCCAATTTTTTTTCTATGATTCCCTATAGTGTTTCTCTTCATTCTGCTACGGATAAACCTAACCCAAAAATGCCTCTAAACCTGTTTTCCAGAAAGGGCAAAACATTATGTGGACACGGCTTAGTCCACATAACGTCAACACAACCTGCATTATGTGGACATCTTTTGTTCACAAGTCCACATAGTGAATGTAAGACAAACTCACACATACATTTGCTGTGAATGTATTTATGTGGTGAAGGTATTTGACCAGAACAGATTTTAATTGTAGCACTGATATGAGTTTCTACACTAGGACTGTCACCACTCATCAGTTAAAAACCTTTTTTGGGTGGGCAAAATTCTTTTCAATATTTTGTGTTGGAAACGGCCAAATTATTTAATTGCTCATACCGGTAGCTGTACATGTACATGGAAAATGCAAGGACTTCATACCAATATACCGTCAAATTCTTGTATTCAAATAACACAAGCAGGTATATTAAAGTCAGGTTTTGCAACTTCTGTCTCCCCTTTTTAAAACTTCTCCAGAAAAAACATCAATTCCATGAATACCAGTTTTGTAAATTCAGGTAAGAACAGCCTCAGCGCATGGGTGTACTCTACAGTCACCATATATAAGAAGTGAAAGGAAATATAAAGGTAGGCTGTGCATGTGTACGTACTTTCATTGATATCTTTGCAAGTCTTCACATCTGTCTTCATATGGGCTCCTTGGTACTGCTTCTCGTTCGCATTCCTCCCAGGTAGAGATCCCTGGCATGGCTGACCAACAAAAACACCTCTTGCGGAATCACTGCCAAGGCTCTGGGACATGTTAGACGGAACCAAGTCTGGTGGCTGAGAGCCCTTCTCGTGAACAGTCTTCGGAAGAGGCCGTCCTACCAACCTCGGATCCCTGTTCACAAAGTTCTGCAGTTCCAGCCATGCGGGCACCTTGTCCGGAACCGGGGTCAACACTTGAGGCTCTGGTATCTTGTACTCGCATGGCTTTGCGAGGTCAAAGTTCGGGGATGCAGTGAATGGTTTGGCAGAGCTCACGGTCGGCAGTGGGTTGAAGACAGTTGTCGGAGCAGCATTTGACGACGTTGTGGTGTTAACGGAGGTCATTAGAGGAATATCTGGAAATTTGGCAGTGTTGTTGTTGTTATGAGGGATGGTTTGAGGGATCTCTTTGAGAGTTGGGCTGGGGATGTTTTGGGATTGGAGGGACACTTTGTCAGCCAGGTCCTGGCCCAGGTCCTGGACGGTGTCATTTGGACGGGACATTCCCATCATGCCTTGCTCGGTGGCAGTCATCTCGCAGCTGGACACTGACACCGTGGCACTGGTGCTGCTGCTGCTGCTGCCGCTGCTGGTACTGCACTGCTGGTTCACCTCCCATGGTTTCCACACTGAGGGGCCTGGACCCTTCTGCGAATCGTCGGGCGACTCGGGCGTGTCTGGGATAATCCCGGTGCTCACTGGGGGGACTGGTGGAAAGTCCAGGGAGGGGTGAAAGGTTGGGGAGTGACCCACGGGGGATGAGTGTGAGGTAGATTGGAGAGGGGACAGCTGTACTGCCTGGGGTTGTGAAAGGTCTGTCACAGGCGTCAGAGGAACCTGAAGACAAGCAAATGATAACACAATCTAACATGGATGTTAGGTTCAACAATTTGACGACTTCAACATTAACATTCTAATAAAGTAATGACACATAATCAAACCGTATGGACCAGACATTCAGAAACTGAAATTAACATGTATAATGACCAAAATGTCACGGTGCCCCATTAACATGCATTAACAGGAAATTTGAACTGCACTAGTACATAATTTTGAACTGCACTAGTACATGTACTTCATTTTCTGAAGTACTGGTTATCAAAGAAAAATGTAAACACAAGGTAACTTTGAACTAAGTCTTTTCCATAGAACACACTCAATGAGAGCACTCATTTCAATGGCATTATAAAAGGAACAAACCTTAGCTTATAATAAGTCCCAACTAAAACTTAATTATCTGACATCAATTATGGAAAAGTGATACTTACAGCTGGAGTAGTGGCTGCTGTTCCAGCAGTTGACTCAAACTTCAGCGATAGCACTCTCTTCGTCTTGTCTCCCTCACTATCTTCCTCAGCCGACTGCCCCGAGAGCTGCCTCCCATAGGTCCCATTCCTCGTCTTCTCCTCCAGCTTAGCCACAGTCAGCACTTCTTCCATGGACAAGCAAGAATCAGGCGTGTGGAACATGTTAGCAGCATTGGTCTCTCTCTCCAGAACAGAGGGGCTCATGCTCAGCGTCTTCTGGGTAGCTGTCTCAAGGGACCCGATGGCTTCCAGGTCGATTAAGGTCTTGGGCTTCCTGGGGCCATCCTTGCTGGACTTCTTGTGATGGTGACGACGGTGGCGTTGGCGGTGATGACGATGCCGGTGTTGCCTGTGCTCCTTCTTGGCCTTTTTGGCTTGCTTCAACTCCTCCTCGGCTGCCTCCAGTTTCTTGGCATCCAGGAAGGCTCTCCGGCTCTTCACCTTGGAGTACATGTCTTCTGGCAGCATCCCAGCCTCTCCAAAGAAGGGCTCTTCTTTGACGATGCTCGGCTTGATGTCTTCTGCCTTGTCTGGGGTTGCTTCCTCCTCAGCATCCTTGTCCTCCCCATCCTCTTCCGTCGGCGTCACTTTACTCTCCAGTTGCCCGTTGTCTCTGCTGGCACTCTCTGAGAACTGGCTCGCTTTCTTGGCATCCAAGGTGGCCCGCCGGCTCTTGACCTTAGAGTACATGTCACCGTCAAAGGTGATCAGGCCCTTCTCTAGATTGTCCCAAAAGGGGTCCTTGAGGGGTGGAGGTCCTTCGTCCTCGCTGGAAGAGGACTTTCTCTTGGATTGGCCATTGGCCGCCTCGTTGTTATCATCTGAGGTGTCTTTCTCTGAGGACCTCCTCCGTTTGGGTTGGGCAGCTGTGGAGGGCTCTTTGGGCGGGGTGCGCTTCTTGGAAGGTTGTTTCTGTGGATGCAATAACATAATAGACAAAGTCACTGATTAACGATCCACTGAGTGTATGGCGGCAAGCTTTTACAACAGGTGTTGCAATCAGTGTGCACATTCAAGGAAGTTACACTTTGCAGAACAGAAGTTTTTGGAATGTAAGAGGAAGGAAGTTTTAAATAACAATTGAAGGATGTGGGAAATTACCGGCCTACTGTTAGTACAGCTGTGCTACACATACATGTACTGTATGTATATTTACGATGGAACTCCTACAGAAATGAACGTTGTGCATAAGAGTGCAGTACCGGTAAACATATGTATTTCACATATTCCACACTATAAATTGATGTGCAATGTACACATGTACTTAAGCAAAAGGACATCATGCAATCTCCACACTGTACTGCCGGTAATAACAAACCACCCTCAAAAATATTCAAGTACACGTGTACATATTTACATGTTATGATCTGCACAGGTGTTTCAGTATAGTGGGAATGCATTAACAGTGCCTGCAAAGAATACAAATTCTAAAGGGAATTATAAAACCAGAGCTACTAATTTTACAATATGGACACAAATACAATGTACATATGGTTCACTCATAAATCCTGCAGACAACACTTTTTTGCATAAAAAGCAATACACTGTACAAACTGGTTTTAAAGATAAATCATTTCGAAATTACCGGTACATGTAAATTTGCAGAAAATCTTTTGAACCACCTTAAATAAATTATGCAAAAAAAGAGAAACATTTAAAAGCCCTTTTGTGTGCACGACACATATACACCATTTTTTCTTTGTTCGTAATACGACAAAAACAGGCAAAGTTGTGTGTCAATGTATGGCCTAATTCAGAATATATGTTTTCATTTTGGAAACAGTTTGGAAAAATGCAAAGCAGTGGTTTTGCAGCAATAAGGTAAATTTGGCAAATTATACAAATGTACATACATATACATGAACATGTATGCACATATGTACACAATAATTTTGCATGAGAGCATTTCAGCACACAAGTATGCTGAAATGTATTATGTACTCATGCAAAAATCCAGAATTTCCCAATTTTCCACAACGGCCCTTAGGTGTTTTCTGCTTCGCTATACTCCTATTCACCCAGGATCCCGTAACTGTACAAATACCTGACTGAAATATAATCCCCAATTGGAAAAAAAAATCCTCAGCAGCCAGAGTATAGCAGGAACTGCAGAGCAAGTCACGTGAGACAAGCTTCTAGGGCATACACAGTGCTAGCAAACCTCAATCATATTTATCAACCCCCCCCCCCCCCTTTCCCCTTGGGCTGTATTTATTCAAATCACTGCCAGTCCCGTGAAATCTTTCTTTGGGAAGAAAAAAAATCTAAGGTGTCATATTTTTGTGAATATGGATTTGGTGTGAGGCTGCATTATGAAAAGAATGTTTGTGTTGTGTGCGTAGTGTGCGATCTATAGTACATGACTGCATGAAGTCATAGCCTGTAATGCCAGTAAGCGAACTGCTGTGTTGTGTGCATTTAAAGGGAAAATACAACATTTGCAAATATCAAAAAATAAAACTACCAGGTTTTTACGAAATACCTTACTAGGATGTTGGTAAATGACAGTCTAAAGCATCCTGTAAAATTATGGCACCTGGTGTGAAGTCATTTTCAAGAAAATGGTATTTTTGTAAAAAATTCCAACGGTGATCGGCCGACCACCGTTGGAAAAACCTGACTATTTTTCAACTACTGCTCCAAATTTACCAATATTTTTAAAGTCCAAATTTTGTTTGCTATTGGTTGCATGTTCATGAATGGGTGCAGGCCAGCTAGACTGGTTCCCTTACCGTACAATTTTCCGGCATCCATAAATTGATCCATTTCATCTTCAGTGAAGTCAGGGAGCCAGACTACTTGAACATTTTTTGTTTTTCTTGGCTTTCCAGCATTTTCGAACACAAAAACTTCAAACATGTCAGTGTAACAATAATTTTATTTATTATACTTTAACCCCTCAAATAGTTCATTTCTGAAAATTAAAGCAAGAGCCAATGATGTACATTCCCTTTAAAGATGTATTATTACTGTGCAGTGTTATTAAATAACACAGTATTCATATGTACATTATGTACAGATACAAGGTAGCAAAAAAAGGAACAATTGCTTGTGTACAACATGTCATAGCAGACAGCCTAAACCTGGGATTTATGCTTACAAAATAATTGTTTGAACTCTTGATTCCTACCCTTTTCCCTAAAATGTAGTACACAGCAAGCTCAGAATTCAGTCATTACCGGGCATATGTACATGGTATGTATGTTCCCATTATGTTTCTAGTGATTACATAAAATATGGAACAGGTCACGCAAATACATGTAGATTATAATGAATCTACATGTAGAATACATTATAATTACATTTATCTATTTTCAATGCTCATTACACCATGATCAAAAGATGCACATGTATTGAGTACATCAAAGACAGTGATGCAGTATTTGAATGAGCATGCGTGATAAATAGGCCTACTACGAGAAAAGAAAAAGAAACAATGCAATATTTTTAAAGAATTTTTTTATAAATTCTTATCACTATAATTGCTAGAAGAAGAAATGTATAGGCAAATGCGTGTACATGCATATAAGGTGATGCAGTTGAAAACTGGAAATTCAGCATCTGGAAAATGACTTTTTGTGCGCAGCACATATGTATGCATACACGTACGTATTTGAGTAACCATGGCCAACAACGAATGAAGAATTTTATTTTTAATGTTTTGCACTTGTACTGGTACATGTATGTCCCAGGATAAGAATTAGGTTGTGAAATGTATAATTTATATCATAATTTCAATTATAAAACTCATCGTCCACAGCATACATGACGTACTTAGGACATGCATGTACAGACTTGTCCTTAATTTGCACTATAAGTACATGTACGCACATGAGGTACATGTACATTTTATGTAGTTCATTTATGAACGTACATGTAGACCTTAAAGGGAATGTACATCATTGGCTTTTGCTGTAATTTTCAGAAATGAACTATTTGAGGGGTTAGTATAATAGATCAAATATTGTTACACTAACATGTTTGAAGTTTTGTGTTCGAAAATGCTGGAAAAACCAAGAAAAACAAAAATGTTCAAGTAGTCTGGTTCCTTGACTCCACTAAAGATAAAATGGATCAATTTATAGATGCCGGAAAATTTTAAGGTAAGGGAACCAGTCTAGCTGGCCTGCACCCGTTCATGAACATGTAACCAATAGCAAACAAAATTTGGACTGACAAAAGTGTAAAGTTGGAGCAGTAGTTGAAAAATAGTTGGGTTTTTCCAACGGTGGTCGGCCGACCACCGTTGGAAATGTATACAAAAATACAATTTTATTGAAAATGACTTCACACCAGGTGCCATAATTTTACAGGATGCTTTAGACTGTCATTTACCAACATCCTAGTAAGGTATTTCGTAAAAACTTGGTACTTTTATTTTTCGATTTTTGCAAATGTTGTATATTCCCTTTAAGCACATGTACCTCAAGTAATATTAAATGTGCGTACACATCAGTACAGTGCACTCCAGACGTTCCAAGGAATTTCCACATCTGTGCCAGAAGTATTATTTATTTATGCATTAATTTAATAATACTCATACTTGTACGTAAATGTACACTTGTAATATAACTACTGCCTCTGCATACCGGTACATTACAGGCCATGTAATTATAATAATTTATTAAACTTATATTGCACTCTCTCCAGGACCAGCCTATTCGAAGGGCGCATTACATAAAAAAAATCCTAATCAAAAATGATACAAAGTGTACATAAATGAACATGTGTATTAGTACTGTATGTAAATTATGAACATCAACCTGCAACAGAGCAGTAAATACTGGTAGAGCCCTTCGTTTGCACAATCTGCACAAACACAAGCCGAGGAAAAATGAGACCAACTTGGAAAGGGTTTAAGGGGGAGGGGCAAACATCCACTGTGTATTGGCTTGGGAGGCATGTATACAACTTACTTGTAAGTAAACATAGTTACATTAAAAAAAATCCCTGTTCCCTAATTATATACATGTACATGTACATAGCCTGCATCATAAACTGTGTGGTACAGTTTCAACACCAGGCTCTTTTAATGACACTGTCCTTTTAGTTCACACCAGTAGAGCATACATGTATGAATGCTCTGAGGCACTGCAATGTGTATGAATGTACACATGTACATGTACATGTACGTACAATGTACATGTACACTTGTATTACCATGTACATGTACATGTACATGTACATGTACCTACATGTACACAGTAGGAGCATGATGAAACGATACATGTGCACACATGGTAAATGTACGTGTAGTACCATAGGTGTCTGTCCACAACATGTACAACACATACCGGTACATGTACATGTAGGCCCCTACTGTAAATTTCATTTGAAAGCCTACATGTACATGAATGTAATTAAATTCTGAGTAACAGTAGTCACCCTGAAGGCCCTGGAAATGGGTAATGCATTTATTTTTAACTTGAATTGTTCAAGCTCCAACAACTGTGTTTACAAAACATACATGTACTTAGTAGTACAAGTACATTTATGTACATGTGTACGTATGCATGTACATGTAATTAAATGTGTACGGTACATGTACATGAAAACAGTCTTTTGTGTAGGCCTACGTATGCATGTGAACACTTAAACGATACACGTACACATGTTCTAACACATGAACGATACATGTTCTGGCACATGTGCTTAAATGGTCAAAATACATTGTAAAAAATAGCCCATCAAGAAACGTTACGAAGCGAAGCCCTTTGTGCTCAAAACTATACTGAGGAAATTCCTGTGCATCATGATCCTTTGAAATAACAAGTTTACATGTATATAGTACACACGTACTTTAGTAATCAAACAAATTTTGCATTCCTTTCATAGCATTCAAAACAAACATGGTATAAATTAGTAATATACGGTAACTCGATCAAGAAAACGAAGTTGGAGAATATCACAAATATATAACCAAAATCTTGAGGCAAACCTCCAGTTTAATGCCTTGCACTGCAAAGAGTGACCCTTTAAAATAACCAACATACACAAATATTTACATGAAACTTGCTCATTATATCTTTTTGGATGTCAAATTTCTGGCTGCATCGAGTAAATTTCTTGACAGCATCTGGGGAATGAGCAAGTTACGTGTACATGTAAGCCCCTCGTAAATTTAACATTTGTATGGCATGTTCATGACATGCTCATGAATACATTACATTCATCTGGACATTGTACGGTATAAAATTGTATTGTGGCTCGGGCAGACTCAGTTCTATGCTGCAGGCCCAGCCTGTCCTGTTGCAAGGCCACCTCCATTGTACACGCACACAAACATGCACTGAAGACTGTGGTAGACAAGTGACCGTGAGATCATATAATTTTCTCTTGTGAATCCTGTTACGTTCAAACTGTACAATATGCATCTAGTCCCTTTAATATCGTATTATGCAGATTAGGCTGAAGATCTCTGAATGAAATGGAGTATCGAATAAACTAAAATATTAAGTCCGGACTCCTTTGCTTAAGTGTCATTTGTAATTTAATATTTTCAAAGACAGAAGATCCTGTTTCGGTTTTACTGTGTGGGGGGAAGGTGGTGTTTGTTTACTTGTTTTGGGTATGTTTTGACTGTTTGTGGTTTTTTTTTTTTTTTCAAAGTTCCAAACATCAAATCTATTTACCCTGCAAATAAACTGTACACAAAGCCTTGCGGCCAGCTTTTGAAATCAAATGCTACAGTGTGTTTACTGAGTGTCAGACAAGAACAAACATTAGCAAATGAATGATGTTAATTTTCTACACAAAACATGAAATTTCCAATCCATGCACAACTTTTTGAGAAGCTTGCGTGAAGTAAAGCGGAATCCGGCGACCAGAATTAGAAGCCATTACTGCGGTGGTGCCGCACTCACGCATATTCTGCACGCGTTCTGTAAAGGCGTGCGTGCATTTTGGTAACTCTATTGGTCGAGGGAGCCCTAAGTGCATGCGTACTACCTGAGCGCGACTCGCGTGAGCCTGGTGCCACCTCAGAAAACGGCTGCCGCTGGATTAGTCTATACTCAGAATTTCTTGCGTGAGTGTGACGAAGCTTCCAAGACTGGATTTGATTTCTCAAGTTGAAGATGCCCTCAATTGCAAGGAAAGGGGGAGTGTGTGGCCTAGTGGTTAGGGTTCGTGACTCATGATCAGAGGGTCCGGGGTTGGAATCCAGCCGCTGGTCATATATTGTGTCCTTGGGCAAGGCACTTCACCCCCCACTTGCCCCTCTCCACCCAGGAGTATAAATGGGTACCGGCATTAGCTGGGGAGTAACCTGCGATGGACTAGCATCCCATCCAGGGGGAGTAGAAATATTCTCAGTCGTTTCATGCTACTGAAACCGGAGATAAACGCCAGCCTGATGAGCCACATTGGCTCGGACAGACTTTACTTTACTACTTTACAATTGCAAGGAAGGCTTGGCTGTGCTTTTCAGGCACTGGCGTGCATTAGGGGTACATCCAAAGTCAGCCTTAAACAAAGACTAGGCCCAGGTAGAAGCTGTGTTTGATTCCTGTTACTGTGAATCTCGGTTCCTGAAATCTCGGGGTCCACATTTGAGGTTTTGGATAACTATGATGATGAGGCCTTTTCACACTAGAGCCTCTCAACCCGGGTTGAACTGAAACCCAGTGCCGTCCCGGGTTGAGTTTTCTATTTTTCAACCCCGCGTTCAACTCCGCATCTTTTCACGCTTGTTTCGTGAAAACTGAGCTTATTTTGCTCTGTTGCTACTGTTTTGAACCCTGGTGAGACTTTCAACCCAGGTTGAAAATCTCCACCCTGGTCTGGAGCAGGATTGAGTTCAACTTGGGGTGAAATCCATCAAATATTACAGCCCTTTTCACACTTAACAAATCTCGGGGTTGACGCAGGGTGGAAAACATGCATCGTTTCACACTTGAAGAATTTCAACCCTGCGTTAGCCCTGCGTCAACCCCAAGATCAAATTCGCCACGGGTTGAACTCAACCCTGCTCCAGACCAGGGTTGAGATTTTCAACCCAGGTTGAGATTTTCAACCCGGGTTGAAATTCTTGCCAGGGTTCAAAACAGTAGATTTGCATGAAACAAGTGTGAAACGATGCGGGATTGAACGCAGGGTTGAACAATAAAAAACCTCAACCCGGGGCGGCACTGGGTTCACCCAGGGTTGAGTTCAACCCGGGTTGAGAAGCTCTAGTGTGAAAAGTGATATCTCAGCAGGGTTGACAATTTTCAAGTGTGAAATGCTGGATGTTTTCAATCCTGCGTCAACCCCGCGTCAACCCCGGTCAACACTGAGATTTGTCTGGTGTGAAAAGGCTTAACGAGCCTCAACCGATGGGTTTAATTACCTTGTCTCTCTTGGCTAGGTTCTGGCTGATCTTCTGCTTGCGTTGCTTCTGCTTCTCAATAAACTCTTCCACGAGATCCTCGCAGGTCAGAAGGTTCTCCCTGGGCTCCCAGGTGTCTTCCTCTGGTCCGTAGCCTTGCCAACGCACCCGGTACAAGGGCTTCCCCTGGAGATGCAAAAGGAAGGAGAAATTGTTTTTTTCTTCTTAAAGGTTTCTCCGGAAAAACTTTTGAACAGGTCGCTGGGCTATTTTAACACTGTTTTCTCCTGTAACACATGCGCGCGAGATGCGTTCAGAAATGCCAAATTTCCCAACTCTGAAGGTGATCCATCTTGTTGAGAGTGCCCTCGACTGCCCCGGCAGCTCAACAACACTTGCCAGAAGGGACCAGCTGGATTAGGGGTACAATGGGCACAAACCAGCGACAGACATAACAGAGGTAAGCTTTCAAAGCCACACAAAACCCCTCAAAGTGGAGGTCCATGATGACTAAATACAGGCAACGACCTTTTTCATAGTCAAATTGTCTTTAAAAAAAAAAATCCAAGAGCAACAGAGTCAACCAACTATTTACCCACCCTCTCAGCAAACGTTCCAGAGTTCATAATTCCAACTTGAGGCTGTGAACACCGAAGTATCAAATAGAAGAATCGGTAGAAATCGACCTACATTTGGGCGTAACTTTTTAGTTACACATGAGTAAATTGGTTTCAATTGCCACAGTAGAGCCAACACTATGGGCAAAATAAAAAGGGGAATTTCCGAAGAAATACCCTGGGGTTCAGCCCTTGCAACACAGACTCAAAACTACAACTGTACCGGTAGTTTTGTCTGATTCAATGTGTGTTTTCAACTTTCAACAAAACTGGTGACATGCTACAGTGCATCTCTGTATAGCACAAGTACAATCGTCTGTGTATTGTGAATTGATGCAAAAATGAAAAAAAAAAATATCACCCCAGAATTATACCATCTGTCAGAACTTTTTAAGCATAATCAGGACTGATTCTCATATATATTCATCAGTTTCCACCAATAAAATATTGTATGTTTGTACACGGAACACTGTACACGTATAAAGACAACTCTCATTAATAAGGCCTAATACAAATTCAGCTGGACCTAGCCAGACTGTTTGTTATATCAGAAGTTTGTATTAAGGGGAGTGCCAGTCAGATTCGTATGCACATAAATGCAGTTGGGACAAAGTCTTTATGTTTACTATTTAATCAGAATTTGTATTCAAGGTGTTTGTATTGATGAGAATTGACTGTATATGGGCTCCATGTGCTAACAAAAGAGGGCGCCCTTTTACCTAGCAACGACGTCCCATGGGCGGGACATTTAGCTGGTTGATGCGCACCTTTCCTTGTGTGTGACGCACGTACACCAGGGGATTTGTACTACGTACACGCAGTGGTACGGCCGCACGTACCTCGCGGCAAAATTGCAGTCAGGCAAGATGGCGTCGGTCGGTCACCCCCAACTGTTCCTTCTTTGCCAGTGAGGGGTTACTTGTGAACAGAGCGGATAGGCTAATATTGTTCAAAATTAACATTTCTCAACTTTTACATGCTAAGCCTGCACGTTTGTTTCAAAATTACATGCATTCATTTTAGTTATTTGTTAAAATTTGTTTCTTTTTTTTCTGGTTGAGTGCACGAGCACAGTAAATCGGAAGCCTGAAGAGAGCTAGAGTGAGAAGACAATGGAAAAGGTTCAGTTTTGTGGGACGAGAAGACAATGGAAAAGGTTCAGTTTTGTGGGAGCAAAACCAAGGAAGGCTTTTTTTTCTAAGGAAACCCATGATTTGGTTTGGTCTGAACACCCAATCCGAATGTAAATAATATCACAACAGTGCTTTTGAACCAATCAACAATGGATCTCGTAGCATCAAGTTACAGAGGATTAATGTAAGTGTCGGACAACACATACAATGTACTCTGTGCTTTACCGTAATATATTTAATGAAATAAAATGTTGAAATTATCCTGGTGAATGAATTGTTCTCAATTTATGTAAAAACATTGTCAAAACTTTTAAGCTGTAAACATACAATACACATAACATTAGGCCCCCCCAAAAAAATATTCGGTCTCTGGTTAGACCAAAGTTCCGGAATTGACGCGGGGACGCGGCTTCTTTCTTTTTTCTTCAAGCTTGGATTGTACAAAAAGGGTGGGGTACTATTTTCTTTTTTGGTGTCCTCATGTACATTGGTGTCCTCATGTACATTGGTGTCCTCCATAATTTGCCTTGGTGCTCTCGATCATATGCCTTGGTGCAATTTCCCATTCCTTGGTGCTCTTTGGTTTTAAAAAAAAATTGAGGAGGTGCGGCAATAGAGGGCGCTGTTGGAGCTACCGCGGAACATTTTGGAAAAAAAATGATTAAAATCGACGCACGCGCTGACCAGAGACCGACTTATTTATTTTTTTTGCCTTAGGCCCAAAAAATAGTTCTGCTTCCGGTTTCCCAACCTACATTTTTGTTCCCAATTCTGACAGCCCCTACCCTATTGTTTTTTTATGGGAAAATGAGAAAAGAAAAAAGTAAAACCATGAATGACTACCTTTCACCCTTGAGAACATGTACATGCAGACACCTCTATATCATCGTACCAAAAAAAATGCCAAAAAAAAATTCCTACCTAGCTACCCTATTTTTAAATGTCACATGTATTTTTTTTGGGGGGGGGCCCTTAAAATATTACAAGGACTGAATTTTCATGTGGCTTGTACTGAATTGAATAATAAGAACTTCTGTAATGTTAAAAACAATCACAACCAAAGTTACTTGAGTAAATTACACTCATTTTAGATACAATACAGGTTTTATTCAAAGATTTTTAAATCACTCAATCGATACTCCTAGTATAATTCTCTCATAATACACAAACCATATTTCATTATTTCTCAAACTATGTGAAAAATGAACATCTGTTTGTATTAATCTTTCACAATGCAGCCCTTCTTGACTTTATTATACTACATGTATTATTAGATCAGAAAGTGCACCTAAATACATGTAACAATCATGTGTAGTGTAGTGCCTCATTCTATAAAGAGAACAAAATCAACTTTGAAGTTATTTGACTATACGCCAAACTACATGTACTAGTTTTTGACGACTTTTAAGAACAAACAGTTTTGTCATAGAGGGCAGGGTTTTAAATTATTGAGGGAAATTTGGGGGTAAAGTGATGACGACAATGACAAAACATAACAGGAAAATATAGATGGCGATCACCGCAATGTACTGCACGGCACCAACCGTAAACGCGTACGAAAAAGTGCAATTTCTACCCTAAAAAAAACTGTTTAAAATTACCCAAAAAAAGGTTTCACGATAAAAAATACCCTGGACTCTAATTTGATCAAAACTAAAGAGGGGCCCTACACTACACAATCGCCATATGATTTAAGGCAGTCGTCAAGTGTGCGCTTCAGCGCCCAGTTGGCAAGTTTGACTGGTGCGTGCCCTGTGCATGTATAACCCTTACCCTACTAGACCCTCCAACGCATGCCAATGTGTGCCTCAAGAAAATCTCCTATGTTTTTTGCATGACCCTCCAATATCTGCCATGTCATTTCAAGGGTAACTGGACAGGCACTCCAATACATGCCACAGAGAACAATGAGAGTCCTCTGATAACAAAGTGAGTGCCCCCAGCTGGTCAGTATCAGGCACCCTCCAGGGCCTCCAACTCCTGCCAATTGGAGCCTTCACTGCTACATCAAAGTATCCTCCAATAAACTGCAGCTGGAGGGCATTGGCATAACCAACTGACATGCAGTAAACTACCCTCAGAGAGTAAGGGTTAAAGTAAGCAAATTTTGTTTGTAAACAAAACCCCAATGTGATCTCTAGCCAGCGATCACAATTTGATCGGCTGTCAGTAATGCCTCCTTTTTTCACTGCAATTGTAGACTGAATCTTCATCATGGATGATCGTTATTTTCTTCAACGAACTATGTAGTGGTTATGCCTGACAAGGTTTGGGTGAGTCCAAAGGGGAATTAGTGTGTCAGGGGGGACAAAATGGCATATATTTTGCATGTGTTTTAAATTCAATTTCAGAAGAAAAAAAAACAATAACAATGGGATTTTCATTTGTCAGTATATTATTATTATTAGTTGCGATGTAAACTTTGAGACAAGTTTCATGTGGGTATCTGTCGTTATTTGTTTAGAAGGTGTACGTTTCAGCCGTCTCCACCTTGGGTGTATTCAAAGCCCATACTGGCGCGGATCGGAGCACGTATCATTACACGAAAACAGTCGTTGATAAGTGCGACTTGCTTTTCTTCGATCGACGACAGTGACGTCACACAAGCTCTCAACGGAACAGCAATGAAATGGATGGAACAATTTGGCAGACACATTTAATTGTGAGCGGTAAGATTCATTTGCACACGTTTGCGTATCAAAATTTCAACATAAAATTTCACTAAAAATAGTATAGACATCTGAAAAAGGCAGCCCTTCTTGATTAGCCTAGTAAGTAGTATAAAGAGGGTGAGTACTACTAGTAATATGCTTCTAAAGCAAAAATAAACTACAAACTAAGCCTAAATGTAAGTGAAAATCAAAATTTGACAAAGTTCTACATGTTTTTGTGCATGTTCCAAGTGTGGCCTTTAATTACGGAGGTAGTCCAGTAAATTGGCCACATTTATGGGGCTGTACTCTAGGGCTAGAACATGATGAAAAGAAAACCGGTGTCGGCCATACAGTTCTTCAGTACTTCACACTAAATAAAGTGCATTCTTCCTTCCTGTTAAATAGCTAAATCACGCCCGAACTCTTCATTGTTTATTTCCCCTTCCCGCCCGTACAAAAAAGCAAACACCTTTCGGTGAGCAAATACACGTACACGTACAATGACCGGCCTTCAGCTGACCACATCCATGGCAAGACAACCGGCCGGCCGGCGCGGCAGCGACACAGACACGGCCAAGATTCACGACATTTTCACCCGGGAAAATCATTGTAAAAACGGAATGCCATGCCAACTCACCTCATGCTTGGTCACGCCCAGGATCTTCTCTACCTCGTAAATGTCTTCGGTTTCGCTGAAATCGTAATCTTCGTCGATAGTTTCCTCACTTTCTGGCGTAGAATTCTCGCCAGCTTTCTCCTCCGCTGCCATTTTAGCCACCATAGACGCACCCTTGTCATAGGTCTGGTGCCCTTCGTTTTGTTGACCATAATAGCATACTGCAAAACATAATAGTCAGGCGCCACACAGCTGACGCATTTTCATTGTTTACATTATTCATTCAGTGCATGCCCTACACAAGTAAGTAAAGTTGAGGGCGCCACTCATGCAAAATCTGACGGAACAACCCTTTAAAAACATTTATGTAGAATTTAACTGATAAAAAGTAAATTACAAGATTAATGGGGTGGGTATGTATTCGGGAAGAATTTAAGACAACTTCTCCCATATTACCACTTCCCAAATAATATTTTGGTTTATATATATCACAGTGCTCTCAATAAAAAAAATAAAGGGCTATGAATCAAAGTGTCTTTACAGTGGAAAGAAAAGGACTTATAAGAAGGCAACCTAAATTGCTCAAAACTTTCAACAAATTTTCCACATTGGCTTTTATTCCTTTTTATTAGATTCCTTTTCCCTTTTAATTGTTTTCTTTCATTAACAAAAATCCCCCAAATCCACTCAGAATCCACAATTTTCTTTGCGACAATACAGCTACAGACGGTCCCTAAGTAATTCCCTGAAATTTATGCATAATTTGACTTCCCTAGCCAAATGGGACCTAGAACATGTTTCTAATCTTGGTCGTTTTTTATAAACAAAACTTTGATTAATTTGGTTGAATTTTTGACATGGATAAATATCACATGCAGTTTTCCTTCAATTTCTATACCATTCAAATGTCCAGTGTAATTTTCCTGGCTAAAATGCTGCGACTGGACAAGTCTATGGAACTAAATGGATGGAGCCGGTTGGAACCGGTTCCGAGTCAAATTTCTCTGCCCGCCAAAATCAGCGCCAACTTTATCACCTGTTTTCGTCTGCCGCATTTTCATTTAAATGAGATACTGCTTTAAGCCAATCAAATTGATCAGATCGACGAGCTGCTGTCACTCCTCACACTTCTGACCAATTGGAATTGCCCGTTCGCATTACGTCACTAGTCTCCCGTCGTCTGATTCTCATTTCTGAAAAAGTAGGCCTCCACCTTGATCAAAAAGATATTTTCTGCCAGGAATTTCCCTTTTTTTCTCATTCATGACTGCATTTATGACTTTACGTATAAATGTATTTTATTACCGATCCAAAATGTACACTTGAAAGACAAAAATGTCGTTAAAATACGATGAGCGGAGAAATACAAGCTGGGCGCTCAGCCCAGAAGACTATCACCGTGCGGGTTCAAAAACAAACCTACCCGTCGTTTTACTCATATCTCACTCTGCAGACGAATTCCAACGGGAGAGGACCTCAGAGAGCTTGTCTCATATCTCGGGCGAATGTTTGCATCATGGTGCAAAAACATGTCTTCGAATCCGTCAGTAAATTCGCATTGACATCCTCCATTTTGTCTTTTCTTAACTGACTGCTTTTCTCCGCTAGCTCAACCCTCAAACTCAAGTCATCTTCTCTCCGACAGACCACTCACAGACCGCCGCAGCAGGCCAAGCCACATCGGCACACATTTCTCCCAGCGGAGACTCCTGCCTGGCCTGGTGAGTCGGCACGTTTACAAATTTCAAGTTCCGAGTCCAAAGTATAGGTTTTATTAGGCGTCATTATTTGGGTAAAACTGAACTTGAATTGAACTTGGATAGAACTTGAAACAGAGTAGACTTACTGAACAGCTTGAACCTCAACTCAGTGACTGAACCGATAAAGAAAATGGTGGACTTGTGTGAACTCCTGTTCTGTCACGATTTTGGACGATGCTCGAGCTTTATACAAGAATGCAACGGGAGTAGTCAGGGGTAAGTCTTTTAAAGTAAACAGGCCTGAGGTGAGTGAATCTTGGGGTTTTTTTTGTGTTACCAAAACTTGAACTTAACAATAGTATTTTATCAGAATTATTTTCAATGTAAATGCAACTTCATTTAAACCTGCAATGTCCCTTATTTTGTGGCTGTGTTAAGTTGAAGCCAAGCGCCACGAGCTCCATTTCTAAACGTTGTCATTTGCATTGCGCTTGTTAATGCTAGTCAAAATAGCGGCGGGCTATATAGTCGAAGTATTCTTTAAGTAAAAAATCATTGGTCTACGGCAAAGACAAAACTCGAAAGGACAGCAAGAACTAATTAAATTCAGAAAGCAAACCTGTATCAATTTGTGTCTAATTTCATAAGCTGTTTAGGGTTAAAATATTACATTCTGTTTAAATTGGAAACACTGACAAGATTGCCTCAGGATACACGTCTAGTGTACATTTTTGTTTATGAGACAATCTATAATAAACAAAAAAATATGCGGGCTAGTGAAAATGCCCGGCTGGCTGACAAAAAGTTAAGATCGAACCCTGGGCTTTGGGCATTGTGTAGAATACCAAAAGCCAACTCTAGATCTTTTTTTCAAGGTAATTTGCATATGAATTAGTCTGGTACGCGCGATGATATTGTGTCGGCACGTGCGAATGACATGATAAAATAGTAGGCGTGGTTACAGGTCATGTTAATTCTGCAAGTATTTATGAATAAGTCTGGAATGTGCGATGAAATTGTGTTGGCACGTTTGAATAAAATGTAGCTACATGTTCCATTGATCCCAAAGATGGAGCTTTGAAATTGTAAGATTAATTTGCATAAAAGTCAGACACGTGCGATGACTTTGTTTTGGCACGTGCGAATAAATAGTAGGCGTGGCTACAGGGTCAATTAATCCCAGAAAGTTTTTTCAAAAGACTTTGGAATGCGGCCACTGGTGGCCAGGTGCTTTTTATGATCGGCTGACCCAGTAAACATGTTTCTCCTGGGTGGAAAATAACTGATGAATCAAAACTAAATCTGAAGTAAAATATGACGAACAAGTCTGGAACGTAAGATTTTGTGTTGGCACATGCGAATAAAATAGGTGTGGTTATTGTGTCCGGAGAAAAATATCAAAAGCTAGATACTGCCTTTATAACCTAAATTAAGTCAGATCTGCAACGATCGGCAGGGACATGATTTGTGTGAAGTTCAGATATATATTTTTACAGCCAGAGTTCCATTTGTTTTATCCAACCAACAGTGATAAGGCCCCCCCAAAAAAAATATTCGGTCTCTGGTCAGACCAAAGTTCCGGAATTGACGCGGCCACGCGGCTTTTTTTTTTTTTGGCTTTTTTTTTTCTTCAAGCTTGGATTGTACAGACAAGGTGGGTACTATTTTGTTTGTTTGGTGTCCTCATGTACATTGGTGTCCTCCATAATTTGCCTTGGTGCTTTCGATCATTTGCCTTGGTGTAATTTCCCATTCCTTGGTGGGAAAAAAAAAGATCGACGCGCATGATTAAAATCGACGCGCGCGCTGACCAGAGACCGACTTATTTTTTTTGTTGGCCTAATGATCACCAAGGACATGATGTAACATTCAAATTAATATTTGCAGCCCTATTTTGGAATTTTGTTTTGAGGAAGTCCAATATAAATCGGCACGGAAATCTGTAACGCTTTGTAATCTGAAAGTCATGTTTTCAACCTAAGCTTGGATTTTAAAGTGGTGATCGGCAGGTACATGTGCTGAATTAACTTGTGACATAATTTCCCCGTCCTCTTCAGCCCTGTAGGCCTATAGAACTTTAAATAGTATCTCGATGTACAACGATCGACAGGGACACTTGCGACAATATGAGACCTTTCATTTGTTTTTCTTGAGTCTTTAGTTTATTCGGTAATTCTTGAGGGTTGACAGACTTATTGGCTTCGATTTTGAAAAAGTAGGTCCGATCTAATACGATCGGCATGTTCCTTTAAGAAAAAGGCCGATAGCTACACGATCGGCACTCACTGTGACCCCGTCACACCCAGACATTATGCCGCCTTCAAACGCACTTTTTAGTCCTGTTTCAATTTAAAAACAAAAGTAAGTCCAATATTGTACAATCGGCAGGGAAATGTTTTGGCATTATGTCACCGTTTGTCTTCGATGTTTAAGACTCAGTCCGATCTTCAAAGGAATCTCGGTGGCAGGACTCAGTCGTTTTAGGATTCGGTTGTCGCCTGCTCTATTAACTTTTGCAACAGCGCCCTCAATATTATCCCTGGCCCCAATGCACAAACATGTACACAAACCAATGACACAAACACGCATCGCCACTACTGATGTGTCAAATCGATCGAAACCAGCGAAGCGAGAAAAACAAAGTTTCAATTTTTACACGCGCAGAGTGCAGTTTACGCGTTAACATTTTCTGTTTTCCAACCACATCCTGCCATTTCGTTAGTTTCAGTATTATTTTAAATTTCAACGTGGATAGAATTCATTAAATGATTTCTTCACTGCAATGCAAGAATGTTTCTGTGGAAAGGGGCATGATACTTTGAGGAGTTTAAAAGTTGCCGCTAAGTTTTAAGTGTTGGTGGTGTGGCTTCGTTAGGGTTTCGACACTAGCTAGCGTGTCGATAGGCGATGTCGTTCGTGTCGCCGCTCTTCGCGTTGAGTCTGTACGTTGAGTTCGTCTTTTTCACGCATTACGGCGATTTCAATGACTGGTTTAAGACGCTATGAGTTCTTCATCATTCCTGAGGATGTAAGCTGTTGAGTAATGGCCTCAAGAAGTATAAAAAAGAAAGGATTTTTCCAGGGTATGCGAAAGCGGTCGGCAAGTTTTGCACACCCTGGTGAGACCGGTCCAAAAGAGTGCTCTACCGACTTCCAAGCCTATCTCAAGGCGATAGTGGAGTCCAAGGCCACCCAACATCCAGAAACTCCTCCCAAGAATGAGGATGAGGAGGAGCAACCGCAAAGACGCCTCCGGTCCTACTCCGATCCATCAGGAGGCCTTTCAAGTCACAAAACAACTCCAAATCCAATCTTGAAGACAATTCCAGAGACTTCTCCCTCGAAAACACGACGCTCCTCTCTATCTCAGACTCAGAATTTGACCAGCGATTTCACGTTTTTCGAGGATGAGGAAAATGAGGATGACATCTGGAGTTCGGTGGAGAGCTTTGACTCTGGAGACGTGGAGATTTATAGTAACTCACCCAGGACCAGAAGGCATAGTTGCTCTGAGAAAAACGTCCGATTTGGACCCGTTCAGATGAGGGACCCGCCTCTGAATCAAGGAATTGAAGTCTTCACCTGGCTACCAAATGGAAATCGTCTGACAGTAAGTTGATAAACAAACTCAAAAAGTAATTGTATAAATTATTATTTTAATTTATGATGAAAATTGCAAGCTTTTAACGTTATGCTTCGTCAATATCCACATTTAGATTTAAGAGCAACTTTAATTGGTTACTTTTTATTTTTATTTTTTTATTTTGTACTAAACTTGACTAAGTTTGATTGCTTTACATAGGCCATAGTACTTCTTTCAGCATGTTCTGAAAAAAATATGTTGCTTCTTATTCATAACTACGGTTTTTACACAGACTTTCAGTACAGATCCATCATAGCTCATGCTGATATGAGGAAAAATTTATTATAACATTATTAACAGAATAAATCAATATTAACATAATAAACTGAGCTACCAGGGGTTTACTCAGATTTTCAAAAAAGTGTTAAAAACTTCTGATATTGAAAATCAACGAATATAATTAACATTCGTATACATCTGAATAACTTTTGAAGATATATAATTTCTAAAATATGCTAACTGAAAAGTTGTGTGAGTTCGGCACAACATTCACGTAATTTCCCTTGCAAAACATAGACCTTTTAAATGAAAGCTAAACCTGGCCATTAGGCAAAATAAAAAAAAAAAACATGTTTAGCGTCCTGCCTCTTTGACAAAAAGGAAGGAGGAGGCCCTTTTTTTTTTTTTTTCTTTTCAAAATGGCCGCCCGACACATTTTTCAAGACAACGCGGCCGGGCTATTTTTCAAGATGGTTACCAGCTTTTTTCAAAATGGCCGCCACTTGGACTCAGGAAATGACATATTGGCTTCTTATGGGCAAGATGCAACAGAAAATGAGACCAAAATGATGTAACTATGCAGAAACCGAACATCTCTTCTGCGCAATTGCACCATATATATATTTAAAAAAAAAAAAGAAAAAAAAAAGGAGGCGGCCTCTAAAAAGGAAGCGGGCGGGGATGCTAAACATGTTTGTTTTTTTAATTCGCCTTATGACCAGATCCTCTTTCCAAAAAGTTGAGACGGTTCTGAAATATGCTTGGCCTGAACTGTTTATCCTTTCCCTTACTGTACAAGGAGTGAAAAATAATGAATTACTTACTGTCAGTTGTAATTATCTGCAATGTCAGTTGTCGGGCCTAAACTTGTTCTCTCTATCTGGAACCCAACTAATGAGATGATTACCCCTCTCCTGGGCCCAAATTGATCCCCCTATTTCACCCTGAGGTGAAGGTTAGATAAATACTCCTTTGTTCTCTGCAATCCAATACCTTCTTAAACACAAAAGGTGTTTTTCTTTTTTGCCTCTTCATTGATTTTTCTCCCTAACCCATTGGTATGTAGTAAATAGGATTTAAGCTGTTAGAGTTTTTGTTCCCTCTCAATTAATACTTAATGAAGAGGGAGTGAAGACGAGCTTAAATGTTCAGCCTTAAAAGTTTTTTGTTGACTTCAAGATGGCTGAGTAATTTATTAAATTTTGTTTTACAAAGAGGCGGATCGAGGAGATGTTGTGTTTGCTAGTGGTGGGAGAAATCGGAGATTTCAAAATCGGGTTATATCCTAATTTTTTTCAAACCAAATAACGGTTATCTGATTTCACTGGAAGTGCCCATCCAGCTCACAGTCATGCCATCAAAAAGTGACGAGTGAGGTGCCGCAAGAAATGCCCTTCCGATGACTGGGTATAGTTTACAGGATTCAATGACCACTGGGCCTTTACAAAAACACTCCAGAGCTGTAATGTTGAAAAACGGTGGGAACTCTCTGAATAAGTCAAATGGGCAGGCTATTCACAGACCAAGAAGGCCACTGAAAAGTGAATGCAGTACAATCAGAGACCATGTAGCAAATTGGGGGATGTTCCAGTTATTTTCTTTAGCCTGTGTCATAAAAAATGGAGGGTTTTATTTTTTATTAAGGTTGGTTTCAAATATTTGGTTTCCAAATTCGAAACCGAATAGTGGAATTCAAACCGAATTTTAAGAAGTCTGGATTTAAATCCCACCGCTAATTTTATTTTTAACTTTGAATGAGATGAGAAAAAAAATATATATTCACTGTATTTATACCAAGAACATGATTTGCATAAAAACCTTGATGCAAAAAGAAACTTGTGTTTTACGAATGAATGATTTTCTAATATTTAACTGTTCTATTCAGAACAGCTTTCTGCGGAATATGTTGTTTATAGCATAGCAAGCGATATATCCGCCTGCTACAAAAAGAACAAAAATTTGAAACTATGAACCAACTATTTGCATTAGTCTCAAAGGCAGTCCTTCATTTCATATCAAATGTCAACAATCCAAACAAAAATCCACCTTGAGTTAAATTCAGGACTGGGTAAATCAGCAGCCAGACAACACAAAGAACCTGCTGAGGAGGCTGTAAATAAAACCTCTGGTTAACTTGACTGATAAGCTACTGATAACCTAATTAAGGCTAATCACTGTGCACACAGTGGCTAAGTAGAAGTTGTTGAGATATACTGGTAACATGGATGGAACAAATGGTTCAAGAACATTTAAGAGTTTCAAAGGCAAGAATGTGAAAAGGACTTCGGTAGGAATATGTTTACAAGCAGATTCCTTTTTAATATCATTTTATCATGAACCTTGGACAGGCAATGTTTGCATCGATAATGTCAGTGTCATGTATTGACAGGAGTTTTGGCTACTTTCAGAATAATCTCTTGATATAGAGTATCACGGAGAGGACTTTGAAAAATTTGAAACTATAAAGCTGTGAAATGTTCCTTCAAAGTAAATGATTGACTATAATGAGCTTGTTTGGGATTGTATTTTTGTATGATCATAAAAACATAAAGACAAAGGAGGTTTCCAGTGTTTAAGCCTTGGATTTAGAAAATTGTAAAATGAAAAAGTGTAAGAAAATTCAACCTTTTTTTCACCCCATACTTAAATCCAAGGTTGTCAATGTTTTTAAAGGCCTTTCCCTTTCTTTATTCTCCCACACGGGCCCAAAGAAACTATTCCTTTTAATTACACAAATCGTTTGCACAAAATTTGCAGTTGAGGTGATATTAGCCTACCGTTCAACCCGATTTACAAAATGCCATACCTCACAAGCAAGGCGGCGTGAAAATCAATCGCTTGTCAAAACTCGCAGTGCCTTTGGCAAACCCGGCGCAACAAAGAAGCAGGGGCCATTGATTCAACCTTTTAGGCTCAATAAAAATGAAGAAAACACTTCTTTACACAGCAGAGGTTTGGTTCCTAGGTGTCTGCGCAGAATGTTTTTCCCCAGGTTCACTGACAAATTTCCCAGTTTTGTTGTTGTTGCTTATTTGAACAGTAAATAATTTGATGTTTGCCGACAGATACTGATGGAATTTATGTGGTACTTCGAACCCAGTAGGGCAAGTTACAGTACGGAATGTGTTTGAAGTAAAATCTTAGAATAAAAGTTAACTGAACTTTTTTCAACCATCCATTTGCTTTTATTTACAATGTAGAATTGGATTTTTTGGATTCGTGATCATGATTTTTAAACGTAGATTGCAGGTTCCTTCTGTGTCATCTAATTTATCATTATTGAAACAGTTCTGCTTTTGAAGGCTGTTGAAAAGCCGAAACATGCGTGAATTGATTTTTCTGTTTTTTTACATTAAGCAATCTTCTGAGTGGTATACTTTTATGCTGCCTATTCACGGATATATATATGTTCATGTACACCTTAAAATCTTTAACACTTTTACAGTTGTTGTTTAAATTAAATTTCAAGTAAAGAAATCAGGAAATATACTGAATATTAGTATAATTCTAAAAGCAATCTCTATATTGTTTAAGGGAATGTACATCATTGGTTTTTGTTGTAATTTTCAGAAATGAACAATTTGAGGGGTTAGTATAATAGATCAAATATTGTTACACTGACATTTTTGAAGTTTTGTGTTCGAAAATGATGGAATAACCAAGAAAAACAAAATTTTTCAAGTAGTCTGGCTCCCTGACTCCACTAAAGATGAAATTGATCAATTTATAGATGCCGGAAAATTGTACGGTAAGGAAACCAGTCTAGCTTGCCTGCACCCGTTCATGAACATGTAACCAATAGCAAACAAAATTTGGAGTGAAAAAATATGGTAAATTTGGAGCAGTAGTTGAAAAAATAGTTAGGTTTTCCAACGCTGGTCGGCCAACCACCATTGGAAATTGATACAAACTACAACTTTTCTTGAAAATGACTTCACACCAGGTGCCATGATTTTACAGGATGCTTTAGGCTGTCATTTACCAACATCGTAGTAAGGTATTTCGTAAAAATATGGTAGTTTTGTTTTTCGATGTTTGCAAATGTTGTATATTCCCTTTAACTGTGAAAGAAATTCATTAGTATGGGAACAACACCGTTTCAACACACATGACAATGGGTCATACCGGTATCTTTGTTGAACCTGAACATGCTGGTATTTAATTTCCTACATTGTATGAAACACTCCTTTTTTTAGGTCAGGGGGGTTGTCGTAGGCACGTTTTCATCCATTATTTCGCAACACAATACATCTGAAATGCTTCTTTTATATTCAGTTTGAAAAGATTCTTTAGTTGACATGATTCGGTGAATAGAAGTTGTCCCTGGTGGGCAGTCTCAGTTAACATCAACTTTGACACGCCGCTGTTTGGATTACCTTGTCGGCGGAGCATGGAGCCATTGAACGTGACCCCAAGAAAAAGAAAGAAAGATTGAGTCATCAGAAGTCATTTTTCATTTTTGGGTGACACAGCAGTCGGTTACTCCCAGAATTTTACCTTCGGACAAGATTGCGCAGTTGAAAACTGACGTCCTGCACGTAGCAAGACTAAAATTCTCTTCAGTTTAGAATTTTAGCCCCGCCGAAATGTTTGTTCTGGAATGAAATTACTGAATTTGTTTTCTGGATTTGCTGATTGGATTCTAGCTCTGTGCTTCAACAGCCACTGGAGGTATTGTAAAAAGCTGTGTGGGCCATTTATTTTGCAGTTAGCGTGCCCGTTGCACTGTTTTCAATTACAGTTCAACG